CTTTTTTTTTTTTTTGTTTTCGTTCATCGTTTAATTCGAATCCGTTCGTCATCATTCATTATTATTCAAATAACAAAAAACAGAGCCTTACATTTTGTTTCATACATTGGGATTTTCAAACAAAAGATTTTATATTTTGTAAAAAAAAAAAAAAAAATTTCACTTTTGCTTTGCACACGGTGTGGTACAGCTTTTCAACAGCAAATACCAAATTTTTTTTTTCTTTGAAAAACACAAAAATAAACACTAAATTCTCCTTTTAACTTATTCTTCTTGCATTATTACTGCTATTAGATCTTTAGATTTCAGGAATAAAATGATTTCATTATTAATTCATGGGATTAGAGATGAAAGAAAAAAAAATGAAACCAAAGAATTGAAATTTGGTTTTCTTTTTTCTTAAGAATTTCATGTTTTTCCATGTAAAAAGAAAACACAATATTTCTTCATTCTTTTTTTCTTGTCAATAAGATTCTAAAGATTTTAGAAGACCACGGGATTGAAGTTGACAAACCTTAAAAATGATGAAACAAGTTTAGTGGGTTTCAAAAGCCAAAAATAAATATTTCATTGGTGAAAAAAACAAACAAGCAAACAAACAGTGATTTCATTATTAACTGTAATCATAATTGACTGATTAATAATAACGGTAATAGTTAAGGAAAACCAGAAAAAAACCCATAGAATTCAATGATTTGTAACAGATTTTTTTTTGTTTTAGTCAAATCTTTGGCTTTTCATCTTTTGACTTTTGATTTTTTGGTTACTTCAATAATCACCATTGTGACAAATACATTGAACGTTTTTTTTGCACACTTCCAGAATTCAATAAAAGTCTGATAATGATTCTTTGAAACGTTTGTTTTTTTCCCCAATACAATAGCTATAATTAAATTTTTGCTTATCTAAGCATCATTTTTGTTCGGTTTACCCTTATCATTGATCTGTTTTTTCCCCCACCCCCCATAACTTTCATCATGTCAATAATGAATCTATGAGCTTATTTGGTATCATTTCTTCTTCTTTTTTTCAAGCTTTTCAAGCTTTTTTTCCACGATGATTCTTCAAATAATTTGCCATTTGTTATCGAATTTTTTTTTGTCACAGTGAGCAAAAAAAAATAATTTTTAAATGAAAAAAAAACGAAAAATTTTCCATCAGATTCCGGAATTAAATGATGCCTCAATTGGATAGGATTTTGTTTTGTGCACGATTTCGATTATTTTTTTCTCTCTCTCTCTCTCTCTTTCAAACCATCAAACAAACAACCAAAATCAGTTATTTTTCTCTCATTCCAGGCATGATCATCATGGTTTGAATTCTTATCTATTGGGATTTTTTTTTACTCTCAATTAACAGACATTTATTTGTTGTTGATAATGATGAAACAATACAAAAATTGATAATGATTTTTTTCTCACTTCAAGATTCAATTACACAAAAATAAACAATTTTAATCCATAAAGATTATATATCAATCGCCTGTTGATTATATTACAGATTCTTAATAATGAAATTTTGTGTTTGATTTGTTTTTTTTTTCGTTATTGCTTTAGATTGAAATACCATGATTGCTGTTGTTGAAGTATACCAAGTATTGCCGTTTTTGGTGGATTTTTTATTTTGTCCTCAACATTTGAATATTATTACGAATTTTTTTCTTTTTTTGTTAAATGTGTAAGTACAAATTACGTAATCAGATGAATTTGTTTTTATAGATTCGATTGAATAATTCAATGTTTTCATCGTTATTGATTTAATTTGTTTCTGTTTCTGTTTGTGTGTGTGTGTTTTTGTTGTTGCTCATTTTTTTCAGCATATTTCTACACCTCATCTACCCAACACGATTGATGATTGCTCAAAAATCAAATTTAATTTTGTGATCCATGATGAATCAATATCCGAAAATATAAAAGTTAAGAAGAAAAAACAAAAAAAAAAAAAGAAACTTGAAGAAAATCCCTAGTGGTAACTATATTATTATCATCATCATCATCATAATCATCATTGAGAAATGATAAAATTCATTTACATAATATTGTCGTCAATACTTTTATATACACGTAAACATACAAAAACAAATGCGCATATCTTGCATAATAATATCAATCAAAATTGAGAATTCAATTCAACGTGTATGTATATGAACCAACACAACAAACGAATGATAATCGATATACGTGATTTTTATATATTGTATAATATAAATTAATGATTGACGACATTATATGATGATGATGATGATGATGATGATGATGATGAATAATAATGATGATGATGATGAAAAAAAAAGAAACCATGGTCTATATATTACATTATACATACATGCATGAATATATCAACAACAGAATATCATCATCATCATCATATATATATGAATCAATAAATTCGATACCATTTTCATTATAATAATTAGTTAATAAAATTTTGTTAATAAACAAATGATAATGATCACATGATCTAGTCAATAGTTAGTTCTTCAAGCCAATACCATCATTATTATTAACAACAACAGAATAAACAAACAAACAGAATAAAAATTTGCAGAAAATTCATAACAAAAAAAAAATATCACTGTGATCCAATATATATAACCTGATCATCATTATTGTTAAAAATTATCATTCTATTATGTGTTTGGTTACTGCCATCAAACTGATCCAAATAAATTTTATACAATTTTCAACATACAAAACATCATTAACACCAACAATTGAATGGAAAATATTGTCAAAGAAAAATTTCAATCAACATTTTCATTGTACGAATTTTATCATCATTGATATTCGTATGAAGATTTTGTTTGACAATCTATACTTTGATTTTATCAATAAATGGAACAACAAAATGAACAAATGGAATATTGAATCAACAACGTTGATCAATACAATGATAACAATATGGAAACAACGATTGACAAGTATCGATATTGATGTCAAAATTTTTGTTGCAAATTTTGGCAACAAATACCATCATCATTATTATGAATTGTACGAATATGGTTACAAATCATATGATGATCATGGTAGTAATCTTTTTGGATCGTTTACTTATATAGGCCATAATAATCACGAATATCAGCATCAACAACAACAACAACAACAACAACAAAATATTATTGCAATGATGATGATTTATCGTCCATGGAATACAGTATTGAAACTAATAATTTCCTATCAAAACCATGTTTATTGATTCTATCAATAATTTTTATTACCCATCATATGATTATTATTATCATATTGATCCATTATGTTATTTTACAATCCATATACAATATTTTTCATTATCAATCATATGGTTATGATCATTTTTCATATTATCTGTTAAATTTTATGTCTACAACGTTATGCTATAGACATTATCATCATCATTGTTATTACATCATTATCGAACAGAATCAAAATAATAATAATAATGTTGACGGAAAAAAACTACGTCATAATTATCAACAAAATGATCAAGAATCGAATTTAAAAATATTATTATTATTATTTATGAATATTCTTATTATAATCGATGTCGGCAATATATTTGTTTATTGATTATCATCAAACGTCATTATTATTATTATTATCAATCGATATTGATAAAAAAAATTATTCATCAATGTCCCTCAACATTATTATTGTTTTCCATAAAAATCATTTGAATTTTGATGACTATTATCATTTTATTTTCAATTCAGATTTACAACAACAAAAATGTTGTAAATTTGTTTTTGGAACATATGTGGCCATCATCATCATAGTATCGGCCGATCATATCTATCAAAACAGTCAACAGCAGCAGCAACAACAACAACAACATGACAAACGAAACCGTTGCCGCAGATTCATCGATTCAATGTCAATATACAATATAAAATTCACATCCATATTTGTAAATGATTGTTGTGTCGTATCAAATAATTCTATCATTTGCATTCATTTCAAATATTCAATTTTGTCGTCATCATCATCATCGTTGATGTTATTACAAATGAAATATATTCTATTGATAATGTTAATGCAATTACTATGTTATTGGCAGCATGTCATTCGCAGATCACAAACATCATCATCATCATCATCATCAGTATTAATAATCGCCGACACCGAGTTGATCAACATTGAATAATAATAATAATAATAATAAAAGTGATGTTTTTCATTCCTACAACAATAACAACCACAACAATATTATTAAAGAATTTTGCCAATTCTTGAACATTTTTACTATTATCATCATCATCATTACTACTACTACTACTACTGCCATTCATTTTTTTTCTTCTATTATTATTTTGTCACCGTTATCATTGTTACCGTTGTTGTTGTTGTTGTTGTTATTCTTGTTTCTCATCAACTTTACAACGACAATTGTCCAAACCAGATCATCAGATTTTTTTCTTTTCAATAGTGATGATTATGATGATGATGATGATGATGAGGATACTATTAATATTCTTTGTTGTTGTTTGATGATTATAATCAGAACCACATATTCAATCATCATTATCGGCAGTGACAAAAATGGTCATAATAAGAATGTTAATATTCTTAAAATAAAAGCAATGTGTTTATTATGGTATTACGATTCTGTCGATTCTATCAATTATAATGATGATGATGATGATGATAATAAATGTTTGAATCGACAAAAAAATTTTCAACAAAAATTGAAAAAATTTTCATTACCATCATTATTTTCTTTATTATGGTCAAAAGATCAATATCAACATCAACCAAATAATAGTGATCAATATCAATGGCAAAGGTCATCAATGCCAATTGACAGTTGTCAACAACAAAAACAACAACATCAATTGCAACCATTAGTGCCAACATATTTTTCCATCCACATCAACATTATCATCATCATCATCATTAATCTAATTTATTCAATTTATTTAAAATGTTTTCAATTTTTATATCAATATCATGATCATAAATCTTCATTATTATCACAAAAATTATATCGATCATCGCCAAAACGGACAATCTATACGAATAAAAAAACTAATAATGATCACATTATCATTATCATCATCATGATGGCCATTTTATCATTGATAATTTATCCGATACCGATTGTTCGAGGTCAACATGCAAAACAGGTAAAGACATTTTTCATTTTTTTCATTCTTCAATTTATTATTATTGAATGAATGAATATATATATATATAAGATGCTTATTATGATTTATATTCCATTTCATTTGAAAGCAAAGAATTTGATTCACTAGAGAATGAGAATATATTTCATTTCATTTCATTTCATTTATTACAAATTAATATATATAGCTAGCTTTTATCACATCCACACATCGATCCTACTAAAGATGAAACAATAATGCAATTTATATCTATTAAAATATCATCATTCTTTTGAACTGAATATCATTGAAACATCATACTACCAGAACCACAAAGAATATTTGCATAAATTTTTTTTTACTGTTTTCTTCATATGTTGAATGATGATGATACTATTTTTTTTTTATCAAACCAATAAGAAGATTTGTAAAATATTTTTTTTTGAGAATCAAAATAAATTCAATTTTCACACAACTTTTGGCATGTTTTTCATTTATTTATTTCCTTTGTCGATTGTCGATTTTTCATCATTTCTAATCTATTTTTGTTTTGTTGTTGTTATTGTTGAAAACATTAGTATTTGAAAGTGAAAAAAAAAAATTGTCCAGAAATGAGAAATCAACATCTGACATTTTCATTCATCTTAATGATAATTAACTTTTTTTTCCTTATTTCATTTAAATCATCATCATTTATTATTATGAACTATTTATCAATTTGAAAATCAACCAAAACTTGGATGATAATAATGATGATGACAGAGGAAAAAAAAAACTTTTTTTTGTTTCACATTCTTTTATCACAAAATATCCATCCATTTTTTTTATTCTCGTTCTGGATAACAAATTGAAAAATTGATTAAAGATCACAATGCTAACAACAACAACAACAACAGAAAAAAAATGTGACAAAATTCTGAATGGACAGCCAAAATATGTGTATGAAATACGATATATAAACGATTATTTGTATCAATTTATTTATTTTTTTTTGTTTTGACAAACTACACACACACACACACACACACAGACATTTCTATGAACTTCTCTTGACATGTTTGAAAATTTATCATATTGAAACAAGTATCCGTAGTAAACAAAAAAAATAATGTCCCATGATCATCATCATCATCATGTCAATGATGGAATAAAATATAAAAAAAAATAAAGAAAAAAATCTGAAAGCAAAAAAAAACTTGGCAATTTTTTCATCATCTTATCTTTACGATGAAAAAACTACACACACACACATAAACACGACAAAGATGAATTGTTCACTTGAGAGCGATGAAAGCAAATGACGAAAAAATAACCAAGAGAAAAAAAAAATTGCAACACAAAAATTTGAATTCGAATGTCATTTTTCATTTTTTTTTCTCTCATTCTCTCTTTCTGTTTCTTCATATATGATTTTGTTTGTCGATTCTTATGAACGCATACACACACACATGCACTTACTCAAAAAGAACAGAAAAAAAACTAACATCCATAATAGAATCGAAGAGAATTATGGTGAATTAACCAGATTATAATACTGTACCAAAAAAAAAAAAAAAAAAAAAAGAAACGAAACGAAAAACCAAGCAGAGAAGAAAAAAAAATCAAAAATTCCAATCAATTCCGATACTGATTTTCATATCATAATCATCGGTCATCATCATTGATACTAATATATATATTCTGAATTAATCATGAACCAATCGAAAAAATCAAATCAAGTTTTATGATATAATGATAATATAAATTTTAAAAATTTAAAAGCAAAAAACTTGAGTGTTCAAAAAACAAAAACAAAATTCGATCTGTTGGTATTCGACACAAACAGCAAAAAAAAAAAAAACAAAATTCCCATGGGCCAATATATTATCATCATCATCATCATCATCATTATTAATGATGATGATAAAATTTAATTAATGTGACAGTGTGTGGCTAAAAACAATGATGAAAACAAAAAAAAAAAAAAAAAAATTTTGCTGCTGCACCAAAAAAAAACTTGATCCTTACCAAGAAGAAGATGAAAAAAAAAATAAATAACAAAACTATATATCAACACTTGGTCTTTGTTTGTTTGTATTTTTTTTTCTCTCTCTCCATGTTTATACACTCTCTTGTGGATGGACATCATGTTTTTTCTTCATATACAAACATATATACACCTATTTATATAATGTTATTATTCGTTGGCATATTCATTTCATTACAAGTTTTTCATTCATTTATATTCACTAATGGACTGTTGCTTGATGTTTGGATGATGATGATGATGATGATGATGAGTGAGAAACTTTTGTCATTACGTTTGCGTTTTTATTTTTATTTTTTCTCATTTTTCTTCATATGAATATACTATATATTGGTGGAGTAATTATTTCCATCCTGTCATTAGATGTTATTCTGGATCATCATCATCATCATCATCATCATTACTACCGACACAGAATCATCATAATAGAATTAATTATTTGAAATTTAATTTATTTTTTTTTTGTTTTTCATGTTTTTGCAATACTTTTTCTGTGAATTTGATTAAATACAAAAGTTTTAGTAGCAGTAGTAGTAGTAGTGGTGGTTTTTTTTGGTTGTATTAGTCCAATCATCATTTTTATGTGGCTTTATTATGTTTTTTTTTAAAAAAATGACACATCATCATCATCATCATCAACTATAGAGAGAATCATTTTGTCATTTTTTTGTTGTGATGGTGTCGATAAAATACTATATATACCACATTTTAATGATCATTATTGGAATCGGAAAATGAATGTTTATATAATAATAACTTGAGGTTAAAGGTATGAATGATTCTGTGTGTGCAACAGACGACAACAACAACAACAACAACATGCAGCGAAAAAAAAATTTGAATTGACAAATGAAGGAGAGAAAATTATTCGAATTTTTCATCATCATCATCATCATTATTCTATAGTCGAATAATAATAAGATAATGATGATGATGGTAACAAACAGTGCAAAAAAAAAAAATTGTCGAAACTTTTTCATTCGTTTTTTTTTGAAAAAAAAGCAAAAGTTTTTTTTTGCATTACACACACACACACACACACACACACACAGACAGAATTTTTTTTTCGTCGATTTTATTCCGAATAGTAGAATAATTTCTATTCTAAATTCACTTTATTATTACTTTTTTTTTACAAAAAAAAATAAATGGCTTTGGATGTGGAAATCAGCATCAAAAACAACAACAACAACTCATAGTTCAAATGTATTCACACTCCAAGTTGACTTTTTTTCTCTTTTGGTTTTTTTAGCCATTTTTTTTCCAACTTTTTTTTTCTATTCCCATTTGTCCGGGATGTGAAGCTGAAAAAAGTAGAAAAATTGATACGATTTCTGATTTGAATGAATAAATGAATGAATGAATGAATGAATGGAACAAAAAAAAACAGAACAAAATCGAAATTTGATTCTTCAATATATGGAAAAAAAACTGATACTTTGCATGAGTCCAAAAAAATAAATGGGAAATTTTCTCGAAACTCTGAGAAATGTGTGAAATTTTTTTTGAGTGTTGCCACAGCTGACGCTAATAGATTCATTTTAAGAAAGAAAATTTTCTTTTTCAAATTTTTATTATCATTATAATAATCAACATAATGAATTGTATAAAGGTTTTAATGTTTAAAAAGTTTTAGAATATTTTAAAATTTTCATTAATTGATTTATTCTTCATGGTTTTTCTTTTAAAATCAATTAACAGGTAGCAACCATACCTGGACAATTAGTGATTGGTGCATTATTTTCAATACGTGAACAGCCAACATTACGTGCAGCACAGACACGTACCTGTGGTGAAGTTCGTGAACAATACGGTATACATCGTGTTGAAGCTGCATTTCAGACAATCGATACTATTAACAATGATACAAATATTTTGCCCAACATTACATTGGGTATTGAAATACGTGATTCATGTTGGTATTCGGCAATAGCATTAGAACAAAGTATTGAATTTATTCGTGATGCAATGGCTGCATCAGAAGAAAAAGCATATGGTTCATCATCATCATCATCATCATCATCATTGTCATCATCATTTTTTCGCCCCGGTTCAGTATACAGTGTTCATGATGATGATCATTTATTATCATCGACAACTCATAATAATAATGATGATGATAATAATAATAATAATAATAATAATGACGATGATGATGATGATGATGATTCATCGAGTAAACAACCTCGTATTTTAGGCCTATTTCCGGCTTCACCATTTAGTGGTTCTCCACAACGTTTTAATGTTAGTACACCATGCCCGAAAGCAACAAAAAAAGCAAAAAATATTGTCGGTGTTGTTGGCCCAGCTTCATCTACAAACACAATACAGGTAATAATAGCAATAATAATAATAATATAATATTAATTTTTAGGAAGTGGCAAATTTCTAATTCAATTAATTGAATATATCAAAATAATAATCATTCTCTATGTCATTTTCTCTCTCTCTCTCTCTCTCTTGGAAAAAAATCATCATCTTTCAATTTAATTTAATTAATGAAATGAAAAAAAAGGTCCAAAATTTATTACAATTATTTAATATACCTCAAATTGGCTATTCGGCTACCAGTAAAGAGCTAAGTGGAAAGAATTTTTTCAAATTTTTTCTACGTGTAGTACCGTCTGATCATCATCAAGCTCAAGTGGTTAGCTCATTATTTCGATACTATAATTGGACATATATTTCCGTCGTCTATACAGATGGTAAGTTTGTCTTCTCTTTTTTTTTTGTTCTGTCGAGATTCTTTTTTTTGCTGTTGTTGTTTAATAATAAAATCTCTCTATCTCAAGGGAGCTATGGATCCGGTTTGATGGAAATATTCAAAACAAATGCTCAAGATGTTGGTATATGTATTGCTTATATGGAATCGATACCACCGAATGGTGATGATGAAGTATATGATGCTGTTGTACAGAGTTTATTGGAATTTAAGAATGCAAAAGTTGTTGCCTGTTTTTGTGAAGGATCATCAGTTAGAGCATTATTACAAGCTAAAAGACGATTAAATGTTACCACTGAATTTATGCTTGTCGGTAGTGATGGCTGGTCTGATCGTCCTGATGTTGTTAAAGGTTTAGAAAAAGAAGCTCAAGGCAGTGTCACCGTTCGTATCTATTCACCAATTGTGGAAGAATTTGATGATCATTATTTCAAATTAAATCCATTGGCCAATCATCGAAATCCATGGTTTAGAGAATTTTGGGAAGCAAAATTCAATTGTAGTCTTCGTAATCTAACCGGTCAAGTGATTGTCCATCCAAATAATGTTACATTCACAAAACAATGTACTGGAGATGAATCATTGCAGGATTTTGTCGTACGACGAAAACCTCGATATAAACAGGATAATAAAATGTCATTCGTAGTTAAAGCCATTTGGACTATGGCACATGGTCTACATAATATGCAAAAATCTTTGTGTAAAAATGTTACTGGTCTTTGTAATGAAATGTTACCCGTAAATGGATCAATATTATTATGGAATCTAAATAATGCTCGATTCCGATGGAAAGATGAAATTGTTGAATTTGATGAAAATGGTGATCCACCTGGCCGGTATGTATTGTTGAATTGATTTGAATTCATTAAATTGATTGTTGATAATTTATTTTTTTCTAATAATGAATCATTCAGCTATGATATAATAAATTATCAGGAGCTTAAAAAAGGAGAATATGATTATGTACAAGTTGGTGAATGGAATAGTGATTCTAATTTAAGTATTTATCGACCAATACAATGGCCACGTGAACGTGAAATGGTCATACAATCAAATTATACTGAAATAAAAGTATTGAATAAACATACATCAATACCGGAATCTGTTTGCTCAAAACCATGTCCAAAAGGACAAGCCAAGGTATTTTTATTGATTCTTTTTTGTTGTTGTCCCATTCACAATAATTTTAAGCTGCTGTTGTAGTTCCCATGTGTTTCATTATCATCATTATCATCATCATTAAATTTGATTCCGGTGAAAAAAAACCATCATTGAAAATAAATGAATCAATAAATCGAACCAATCATTTTCTTTACAATTTTGTATTCATTATGAAGATAAATAGCCACATATGGAGTGGCTATTTATTTGTTTTTTTTTTCTTTCTATTTTTCTATAATTTTTTTTTGTTTTGTTTCCAACGTTTAGCATTGAACATATACCTTGTAAACGCAACATCATTACCGTTAATGACAACAGCAGCAGTAATTATAATGATGATGATGATGATGATGATATGGGCAGTTTATAGCACGGAATTATTCTATGTTTATATGTGGATGTTGAACAAAAAAAAAATAACAATAACAATAACAATAATAATTTATGTATGATAATTACTTTTCTTTTCTCTCTCTTTTTATTCCTATTCTTGATAATGGTAAATATCGAAATATTTTTTGTACAAACAACAACAACAACAACAACAACAACAACAAAACGAAAACAACTGTAAACTAGAATATTCAATCTGATTCTGTCAAATGTTGTTGGATTTGTGTGCCTTGCCGTGAAAATGAATATTTAACAAGTGAAGAGAAATGTAAACCATGTAAAATTGGCACATGGCCTAATGAAAATTTGACAGGTATGTTTGTAATAATGATGTTGATGATCTTGTCATATTTATGATTTTCAATGCTGATAATCATCAATCAAATCAAATACACACACACACACACACACCTGTTGTATCTATCGTTAATTTTTATTTATATTTCAATTCGATTAAGGTTGTACACCAATACCAATTGAATTTATTCGTTGGACAGATACTTGGTCATTGGTGGCCATGACTATTTCATTGATCGGTTTTATTATTACATTATTCACAATGATTGTATTTATTAAACATAATGATACACCTATGGTCAAAGCATCGACACGTGAATTATCATATATCATTATGTTTGGAATGTTTTTATGTCATTCAACAACGTTTGCATTGATAGCTAAACCAACTAAATTAACCTGTTATATTACACGTATATTGCCCGGTTTAAGTTTTGCAATAATGTATGGTTCATTAGTAACAAAAACTAATCGTATTGCTCGTATATTGGCTGGTTCAAAGAAACGAATTATAACAAAAAAACCACGTTTCATGTCTGCAACAGCTCAAGTGGTAATCACCTGGCTATTAGTATCGGTTGAAGTTGGTATCATAATCACCATTTTAGTTCGTGAACCAGCCGATAAAATGCTCAAATATCCAACATTAGATCGTGTGGTGCTCACATGTAATACAAAAGTATTGGGTAAGTTTTTTTTCTTTTTTTTTTGGCAAAATAAATTTTTATCTAGATTCTTCTAGAATCTAGATCATATACAAATCAATTAGTTTATTATTTTTAATCTTGAAAATTGTTTGTTTTGTCGGAAAAATAAATTCAATCGGATATTTTTTTTTCATCGTCAAAAATTAATAAATTATAAAAATTCACAAATTGAATAATTAAAACAATTCATCATCGATAAAATGAATAGAATTTTTTTTTGAAGAATATGAAGCCATATTTAAAATCATTTTGTTCGAAACATATTGAATGGACGTTTAAAAATGTGTGCCAAATTTGTTGTTGATTGAAACAATTCTTTAAAATTATATTTTTGATTCAATCGTTTCAGGAAATCATGATCATTTTTAATATGTGATATAAATTCAGTTGGTACATATGTTGTTGATCTTCGTCGACGAAAGCTACATAATGTTGGTATATTAATGTTCGATGATGATGTTGTTGTTGATATTGATTTTGAAGAATCATCATCATCATCAATAGATTTTTCTAATATTCGATAATCAAATTTTTGGTCTTTGTTCATGTCATTATCATCGATATTTGTTGCTGTTGTTGTTGTTGTTGTTGCATTCAATATCGATTTTTCTTCATCCAAATATTCCATAAATCCATATTCATCAAGAAATTTTTCCAATTTTTCACCAATTTTTTTATCTGGAATTTGAATATTCAATTGATTATCATCACCATTTGATGGTTTTATATTCAAACTAAGTACATAATTATCACCATTTGTACTCAACATTAATGCAGCTGTTTGACAACTATTAATAGATGAAGCTTGATGTGAAAGGAAAGAAAAAAAAACAGACAAGTAGTGGTTGTATTTACTTGAACATATAAATTATTATTACTTACCATTATCATTGACATTGGATGTAATTTCATGTGATTGTATAAGCTGAGTATCTTTACTTAAATCAATAGGTATTTCAAGAACTTGTATAGATTCAATTGATTGTTGTTGTTGATTAGGTATTATTTTAATACCAATATTCGATGGTCTACGGACAATATTTTTGTTTACAGATTTATCATTGTTATTAGTAGTAGTAGTAGTAGTATTCATAATCATTTGTTCATTGATAATAATTGCCATTGTTCCATCATTATATTGTTGTATATCGGTTTCATAATTGTTTTCATGATAATGATAATCTTCATTAACTGGTTCTTTATATTCCTGATAATCATCATAATAATGGTGATCTTGATCTTGATTTACTGGTTCTTCATAATAATAATTATAATCATGATCAATATCAATATAATTGTTTAACGGTTCATTTTCATTAATATTCACATTTGTATAATTATCATTTATACCGGAATAATAGCGATTATCATTGATATATTCTTCATTTTGTTGAACAGCATAATAATCATTGGATGATATTTGATCACTTGAACTATCCGAATTGGAACATAAATCAATATGAAAATTGTTAAATAGTTCAATTTCTGAATCATTATCATAATAATTAGATGTTTTGATATATTTGGCCATATGAGTTAGCCAATGTTTATCGTTTATCATGTTTGAGTTTTCATTGTAGCGGCCAATCAATTTGGATTCTAGGATGATAAAATCAAATGATAAAAAAAATTTGATCAATTTAACAAAACAATTGAATTTACCATATTCATTTTGTCCATAATCGATTTGATTCTGTTTCGAATTTTGATGTTCATTCACGAAAGGATTGTCATCATTGATATTATCATTATAGAATTGATTGTTGTCTTGAATACAGCCATCGAAACGTTTACAAAGCTCTTTAACATTAACATTCGAATTTTTTGTCAAAGATTTTTCCATGTTCAAAAATTGACCAATGACAAAAAAATTGGAAATGAATTTTTTTTTTTTTAAATTCACAGCTTTTATATGTCTTGTTGAAAGATTAATTAATCACAAGTAGTCATCACATGAAAACAGCAACAACAACAACAACAGTAGCAACCAAAATTACATCTCAATTTCAATTATTATTAGTATTGATTGATTATAAACGTTTCAATTGTCGTCTTCAATTCATCAATAATATTCACAGTAACGCTCATAGATGACGATTTATAAACAAATATAGAAATTAATAGAGAGTGACAGAGAAAGTATTGATGTTTTGTGATATAAATGATTTTGATTATTTTATATATTGTATTAATTTTATTGAAAATTATAATCAATGAAATACATGGATATGAAGAGAAAACATAAATCAATTACACGTGCTTTTCCAGAGAAAGCAAGAGAAGCAATTTCTGCTCACTTGGACAATTCATATAAGACGTACCAACGTCGAACATTCTGGAAGAGAACCATTTACTCATTAACAGAAAGGAATTTTAGCTGTTTTTTATATTGAAAATTGAAATAAATTTCTATTCCAATTTTGGTCAATTCGATTGGATCTTGTTCTCAAATTTCGACCATACATCCAGCCATTAAAATTCAGCCAATTTTTTTAGATTAAATAAGTATATGTGAATGAATGAGATACAGAAATGCATTAATGGAATGAAGAAGAAGAAAAATATCAAGATAAATTATACTCAAGTATGAACAAGATGAATAGTCTTTTTTTTGCATACACAAACATATACATAGATAATAGTAATGGGATTCGATCCTGGAACCGATTATTTCGATTTATCCATTTACAACGATGATGATGATGATACATAACAACGACGGCAACAACAACAACAACAAAAATACCAAGAAAAAAAAGCAAAAATTCTTTTTATTTCTGAATAAAATTTTACAACATTGGAATTCTGGTTTATTTTTATTTTTTTTTCTCGTTTTTTCGATTTTTTTATATATATTCATCCGTTTGTTCGTTTCCGATCTTTGGTTTAACAAAATTCATTGATGGTAGACGACAAGTTTTTCTTCTTTCTTTTTTTTTGTCATTGCTGACACTAAACTTGAATCTTTTTTATTTGATTCTCATCCATTCATTCATTCATTTATTTATTTTTTTTCATTTATTCATCTTTTCCTGAACCATTTTGGACCGTTTTTCTCTCTCTCTCTTTTCTTCTTCTTATTTGTCTTATTTGGTTCATAGTTTTTTTTTCTTTTCTTTTTTTTTATTCAGCAGTCATTCTTACTTAAATCAATATATCTTTTCATAGTGAAATCTCGTTATCTTGTTATATATATACTATATATGGTTATTATTCACTTGTTTATGTATATCTTTATTTTCAGATTTTTTTTTGTGTGTGTGTGTGTGTGTCTATGCACCAGTATGTTTTATTTTATTCTTTGAATATTTTGAATCAAATTGCCATCACTTTACACATCATTCAGTCAATCATTTTTGTTGTTGTTGTTGTTGTTCTTACAATGATGGCAAAAATTCTTGAAAGTCTTTTTCTTCTTATTTATTCATAGTTTTATCTCATTGCTAATAGTACAGAATTATGATCAAGTTAAATGAAAAAATAGAGAGAGAGAGAGAGAGAGAGAGAGAGAGAGAGAGAGATGAGATGGATGGAAAAAAATAATCACATTGTTACAAGTGTATGTGTATATGTATGTTTATAATAAAACTGGATCGAATTTGACTACTATACCATCGTCATAATCATCAACAGCAACATTATTGACAAATACTGACAAAAAAAACGAAGATATATAAATAGGAAAAAAACAAAAGAAGGTTATACCGGAATAAATAAAGAGAGAGAGAGAGAATGAGACAGAAATAATAACGGAATTATATATTGTAATATATTGAAGCTTTTTCGTTTGTTGTTTGTTTATTTGTTTATTTGTTGCTACCATGTAAATTGTCTTCTTGTTTTATGTGTATGTGTGTGTGTGTGTATTTCTTTTATGTAATTTTTTTTCTACATTCTATCATCATCAATCCTGAGAATATGTTATTTTTTTTTTTCTTCGTTTCGCTTTATTTATATGTCGTCATCATCATTTTTCGATTTTTATATATATATATTCATCCGTTTGTTCGTTTCCGATCTTTGGTTTAACAAAATTCATTGATGGTAGACGACAAGTTTTCTTTCTTTTTTTTGTCATTGCTGACACTAAACTTGAATCTTTTTTATTTGATTCTCATCCATTCATTCATTCATTTATTTTTTTTTTTCATTTATTCATCTTTTCCTGAACCATTTTGGACCGTTTTTTTTCTCTCTCTCTCTTTTTCTTCTTCTTATTTGTCTGGTTCATAGTTTTTTTTTTTTTTTTTTATTCAGCAGTCATTCTTACTTAAATCAATATATCTTTTCATAGTGAAATCTCGTTATCTTGTTATATATATACTATATATGGTTATTATTCACTTGTTTATGTATATCTTTATTTTCAGATTTTTTTTTGTGTGTGTGTGTGTGTGTCTATGCACCAGTATGTTTTATTTTATTCTTTGAATATTTTGAATCAAATTGCCATCACTTTACACATCATTCAGTCAATCATTTTTGTTGTTGTTCTTACAATGATGGCAAAAATTCTTGAAAGTCTTTTCTTATTTATCATTATTTATTCATAGTTTTATCTCATTGCTAAGAGAGAGAGAGAGAGATCTCGGGAGAGAGAGAGAGAGAGAGAGTAGAGAGAATTATGATCAGAGAGAAGAGAGAGAGAGAGAGAGAGAGAGAGAGAGAGAGAGAGAGAGAGAGAGATGGATGGAAAAAAATAATCACATTGTTACAAGTGTATGTGTATATGTATGTTTATAATAAAACTGGATCGAATTTGACTACTATACCATCGTCATAATCATCAACAGCAACATTATTGACAAATACTGACAAAAAAAAACGAAGATATATAAATAGGAAAAAAACAAAAGAAGGTTATACCGGAATAAATAAAGAGAGAGAGAGAGAATGAGACAGAAATAATAACGGAATTATATATTGTAATATATTGAAGCTTTTTCGTTTGTTGTTTGTTTATTTGTTTATTTGTTGCTACCATGTAAATTGTCTTCTTGTTTTATGTGTATGTGTGTGTGTGTGTATTTCTTTTATGTAATTTTTTTTCTACATTCTATCATCATCAATCCTGAGACCCGGGTAGATGGCTGTTTTTATGTGTGTGTGATCACGTTTTATTCTGTTTATAGGCAAATAAAATGTCTAATAATAATAATAATAATGATGATGATGATGATGATGATGATGACGACGAGGTGTTAACATTAAAATAACAATGATGATGATGATGATGATGATAATGAAAGGGAAAAAAATGTTGTTGGTGGCTGAAGGTTATATAGGAAAACTGAAATCCAATCAATATGTTATTTTTTTTTCTCGTCTTCCTGATAGCAACACATGTATGTGCGAATATGTGTGTGTGTATATAAATATTGACTGAATTTAGAATATAATGGAAAAAAAACAAATCCGGATTCAAATCAACTATCACCATTTGTGTATACGTCAAAAAGAAAGAGTACATTAATTTTTTGTTTCCTTTATTTATATGTCGTCATCATCATCATCATCATCGTGATTATAATAAATATATATATATGGTTTTATGTTTAGAGCTTAAAATTATTCTACATTCTACAGTATATATCGATAGGTATCAAAAAATTATCGAATATTCGTTGTGTATAATATGGTTTTATTCATTTTGTTTTTCTGCCACATTGGCTTTTAGTTTTTTTTTTTTTTTTTTTTTTTTGTTTTGCTTTCATTTGACAATCCAATAATAGCCAACTGACCATTTTTTTACGATTGCGAAAAAAAAAGATTGATTATATTACTAATTCTGAAAGGGTAGTATTTCTATTTCTATTTACATCATCCAGTTGTTGTTTATAATGATACAAATGCGAGTAAATTAGTATGCTGTTGCCAATTTCTGAAATCATATTATTATTACTATTACTATTACTATACACACATATAAATAAATATAAATTAGTTATATATATAATAGAATCTTTCTTCTATAATATATATACACCAAATGATAATAATAATATTAACCAACTATATATGTATATATACAACTTGACCATCATCAATCTATTTGTTGTTGTTGTTGTTGTTGTTCTCTATCCATAATATATATCTAATGTAATTTGATTGAATTTTTGTTTTGTTTCTGGTGCTAAAAAAAAAAATTTCATATTAACGATTTTGTTGTGTGCATTGACAAACAAACAAACAAACAAAAATTTACAAATTTCATACCAACATCAACATATTGTGTATGTCTTATTATTTGAAAAGTTTGATATAAAAAAACCAATAAATAAACCAATACAAATTGTAAATTGGATTTATGATAATAGAAAACAAAAATTCCATATGAATATTATCATTATTTAGAAATCTAATCGAATCTAATCAAATAATAATTATATTACAAAACATCATCATTTTTTTTTTTTTTTGGTTCATGGCTATCCCTGTGATTCATATTGTTTTTTCTCCTAGCTTTATTATTCTGAATTTCTAATATTATATCTTGTTATAATAAGATGAAAGAACTATATTATCCATCTATATCTAGACTTATATTAATGTTGTGTAAATCAGCAAAAACAAACAAACAAACAAACAAAATGATCAGCTTGACCAAGCAAAAGCATTCACATACATCATCATAACGAATAATGAAATGATGATGACCAATATATAGTAGCCGTGAATAAAATGTAAATATTGTTTACTTATCTGATTTTTTTTTCTCACAATTATTGTTGTTGAGTGACAAAATACGAAAAAATGATGATATGATGATGATGATGTTTATATAGCCAATAATAATGAACATTCATTTTGTGTGTTATAAATATGAAACGAAACACACATTGATGATAAGAATATTGTCCACTTTTTTTTCTCATACGTTTTCTGTGTCAATTTTCGTTTGTTAATAATAGCCGAATAAAAAAAAAGAAAATTCACGCCAAACTTACTCACTGAATCATCTAATCGATCAATAATATTGGTCAATATCTATAAAATAAAATATTTAATGTTCATGTGTGTGTGTGTGGTATATTGACATTAAATAGATTCAATGTTTATTCTTTTTTTTTTTTTGACCATATTATTATTCTGATATTTGAAATCGTTTTTTTTTTGGCACACTATATGGTGAATATTGGTGAATTTTTTTTTTTATTATTCCATAAACACTCATTCAGCAAATTTTATTTTCAATTCTGTTTTTCACTTTTTTTTTCGTTTGTTTGTTTGTTTGTTTGTTATCAATATTAGCCAAAATCGAACAGATTCAATTGTAATTTTTTTTCTCTCTTTAACCACCATAATTCTTCTATATATATATGGACATCATTTGAAATTTTTATGCTATGCAAAAAAAAAGTCCATAAATTACTGTACATTGGCAATTTTTATCTTTGAATCATTTATTTTAAAAGAAAAAAAAATTTTTTTTTCTCAAATTCTGTTCTTTTCTTTTCTTTTTTGTTTGTTTTGTTTGTTGTATTAGAAGATTCAACAAAAAAAAATTCTATTATTTATTGCGTGATTGTTTTTTTTTCTCACTGAAAAATAAATCGATACATATATCCATTCTCAGTGGATCTATTGGAATAAAATTTTCGTTGAAACATTTCTCGTCATTATTAGATTTTTGTTGTTGTTGTTGTTGTTCCCATTTAGGGTTACCAGATCCATGGCGAACACAGAAGGAGGACATGTCCTCTTTTCAGCAACTTTTTGCTTGAAAAAAAATTTTTTAACCCATATAAAAACTGTATATAATTAATCGAGTTTTGCAAACACTTGACTTGGTGATTTAAAATGTTCGTGTGTTTGCGTGTGTGCGTGTGTGTTTGTATCCAAAGAAAAAAAACCACTTGAATACCGAAAAAAAGCTTGTAAAACAAAATAAACATAAATTTACACTTTTTACTGTGACGAAAAATCAATGTCGACGACGTGAAATTATATTATTTATAATCAACAAATCAACAAAAACAAAAAAAAAAATTCAACAATGAGTTGCATAATGAAAGAATTTCAAAATACCAGAATCAATTTATATTCTTTATTACTTAAATACACAATATATTCTATGCTTCATTTGCGGCTTGAAAAAAAAATTATTCTTAATTTATTCACCAACACACACACACACACACACATGCACAGATTTCATTTTGTTTTCCATTACTTTCTGGTGATGATGATATCCGTCTTTCTTTCTTTATATATATTGCGTTGTTGTTGTTGTTGCATTCCATTCATTCTTTTTTTTGGCTGGTTTTTATATGTCTTTTGTTATACACTCACACCACAATGATAATGGTGATAATGATAATGTCGATGTTGATGATGGTTATGGTTAGTCCACAATTATAGCCATTAATTTTAATCGTTTTTTTTACATTCTATCTGACGTTCATTTTAAAAACTTGATATTAAGATTTTTTTCCTTTTTATTTTTGTCTCTTTTTCCATTCATTATTGATGCTTATTTTTTTATTTTTTTTTTTTTTTGATCAATCTTGGCACAAAAAAAATACACTACACTATACATTTACACAATGAAAAAAAACCGGAAATTGAATCACTTTATTGATGAGGATTCAATGTGAAAAAAAATAGGACCGAATGATAATCATCAAAATTGTATCATCAATTCGAGAATTTTTTTTTTTTTTTTTGCAAACATTAACCGAGATTCAGAGAAAAAATCAAATTGTTCTTGAGCTTAAGATTATTTCAATAAGATTATTATTAACTTTAATAATGAATGAACCATCAGCAGCAACAACAACAAACGAAAATCATATTAATCGATTTTTGTTGAATTGATACGTGATCATTCTTCAACGACAATCACATAATAAGATCAATGAAAAAATATTTTGGAATGTGCTATATTTATCTCTGATATTTATGTATGGCGTAAACAAAACAAAAAAATCTGAATTCGTTTATTTGAAAAATAATTCGTTTCACAGTAAAAAAAAATATAATATATAATACACATTGCCAATCAAATTATTATTTGCCTTCTAGGGCAAATAATACGTGTGTGGGTGTGTGCGGGTGTGTGTCTGTTTGTGTATTTTGAAAGAATTTTTCGCTTATCGAAAATGGCCATACGGTTATTTTTAAAAATTTCTTTTTCTCTTTATTTGATTAGGTTATGAATTTTATCATTGTTATTCCATTTCAATAGGAATTTCATTAGATTTTTATTGTTTTTTTCTCTTTTCCATTTCATCATCACAATTGTTCATTTTATTTTATTTTTTCAATTTCAATTTCAATTCAGGAATTTCGGCACCACTTGGTTTCGATTTTGTTCTTATTGGTTTCTGTACATTATATGCCATTAAAACACGTAACGTGCCAGAGAATTTTAATGAAGCAAAATTTATTGGTTTCACCATGTATACAACATTGGTCATTTGGATTGCATTCGTACCGATTTATTATAATTCCGATGAAAATGTTATAACATTGAGCTTGTGTATTAGTTTTTCAGCTATTGTTGCATTGATATTATTATTCTTTCCAAAGCTATATATTATATTATTTAAACCGGAAAAAAATAATCGCAGTTATTTTACCACAGCAAAAAATGTTCGCTGCCATATTGGTTATATGCAAGCTGCAACATCGACAACAACATCAACAATACAAAGTCAACCAACAGCAACTAGTGCTGTTTCAAGACATTCATCACATTCGGCATCAGATTTTAGTCTTGAATCACCAAGGTATGATTATGTGTGTGATACATACGATACCAATATTTGAAATTGAATTTTTATTTTTGATCTTTGATTATTAGAAATCATTCAATCGATGTTTGTTATAGAAAACCAGTATCAGAAATATCCACTGTTCATAATCAATATTATACAACGCCATCATATTCAGGCACACATCTAAATCATACAAAAATACCACAACGTCGTAATGGTCACGTTAAAAAGGGATTCTTTTCACGTTTACGTATCAGTAAACAAGATAAAATTGCAGCTAATGTAGCAGAACATATACGTGCCGTACGTGCAGCTGAAGCATTGGATCGTCAAACGGCACGTGGACGTCGTTTCCATGGTTAGTGGTTTGTTTTTCACTGGAATCTAAATAATATATTTTCATATGGCATATATGAAGAATTTCACATAAAATTAAATTTTCGACAATTTGTTACCATGTACTTAAGTTGATTCATTTGTATCATGATCAATTTCTTTTTTTTTGTTTTGTTTTTGTTTTTACTGAATCTAATCTAATCTAGTAGCTACAAGCCAAAGTTTTTCAGAAAAACATGAAGAACCAACAACAACAACAACAACAGCAACATCTATGATTGGCAATGAACCAACAACGACAAGACAAGAGGATACGGTTGGAATATTATCACGTCAAGATACGGCAACACGAAGAATACGTATTATTCATCTTTTACGTCGAACATTTGGTGAAGAGCTAGAAAAATTGCCACAATTCAGTGCATTGGTCAATTGTCTTAAATATGAATGTTCACATACATTTACTGAATGTGCCGTTCAAACGGGCAATGGTGGTAATGGTAATAATGGTATGGATACATTAAGACGACGATTAACATCAATACCAGCCGATGTTAATCTTTTACAACAACAACAACAACATGAAAATGGATTTTCAAGTAAGTGATCGTAAATCAATGTAAATTTTAAAAAATGCTTAATATACACACACACATATTGAAATTAAACAGAAAACAACCACAGATATCAACAATCATCATCATCACAATTACAACAGCATCAGAAACAAAAAGTTTGTAAAACAATGTCATCGGATGAAAGCATGTCGGTAACAGGTTCGGTTGTTGTTGAAGAGAATATTAGTTCCGGTGGTGAAGATTCAAGTCAAACATCCGGTGTATATAAAAATATCATAATAAATTTAAGTAATTTAGCAACTTTAGCATCAGATCCACAACAATCAAGTTCATCAAGAGATATATATCATTATCAACAGCAGCAGCAACAGCAACAGCAGCAGCAACAACAACAACAATTTGATCAACCATTATCGACACCACATTCAGCTGATCATCATCATTATCGTCATCATCAACCACATCACCAACATCACCAACAATCATCATCATCATCATCAATTTGAAATGTCAACAGATCAAATATTTCCAGAAATGAGACCATCATCTAAATCACAGCAACAATTACATAGTAACAATAATGAATTGATCGGTATATTAAAGAAAAATCGTTGAATTGGGAATCATCAATGTTTTTTTTTGTTTGTTTGTTGTTTGTTTGTCTGTTTTCATCATTCACTTTATATTCATTATAATAATACTTATAGCCAATAATTGTTTATCCATTTTTTTTTCGTTGATTTTTAAACAAATAATTTGTAAGTTTTTTTTTCATTTGTTCGAATCACTTTAATATTCAGATGTTGTTTGTTTGTTTTTTTCTTTGTTTCTTTTGGATCATTTTGGTCAATTTATCTCTGTCTATTTCAATTCATTGTTTTTTCCTCTCTCTCTCTCTCACACACACACATTTTTCGATTTGATATAATTGAATTTTTATTAAAATTATTTCAATTTTTACAATTATTGATGCAAACAAAAAAAATGAAAATAAAAATTAAAAAAAAATTTTTTTCTCCACTAAGCCTGATCATCATCAAATTCGAATTTTTTTTTTTAAACCAGTGCGCTAGAGCTGCCATCTTTTGTTGTTTTTTGGTTTGGATACAATTGAAATAAAAAATGCAAAAATAACCCAGCCACTATAGTTGGGTTTATTATTTTTTGTTTGCCACACCAATAATATTTCAGAGTTCAAGATTCAAATTACAATTTCTCATCATCATCATCATCATCATTGAAAACGATGCGTATTGAAATAATGAAAAAATTGTCAATCAAAAAAAAAAAAAAAAAAAATGGCCAATGATGAAGGCAATGTGTCACATGTGTCACAATGACAAGCAGATTAATCATTTTTCATCATTTCATTTCATTTCATTCGTTTATCATCATTTGATATGTGATATAAAAAAAAAAAAATAAGAATGTGTTTTATGTGTTATGTATATTATATATAATATATAAAATTTCAACCAAAAATTCTAATCAATCGAACAATCAACTTTGAATGTGATGATGATGATGAATTGAATTTTTCTATTTTTGAGTAAGATCATCACCTTGTTTTTATGATTAAAAAAAAAATAAAATAAAATAACGACAATAGTTCATCATCATCATCAATTTGTAAGTAATGAAAACAAGATGAAATGACACAAACAACAACAACAACAACAACGACAACAACAATTTACGTAACAATGATGACTTATGATAAAAATACCTACTGAAATGATTTATAGATGATATCAAATTATATTATATATTTTTTTTTAATTATTAAAAAGTATTTCCGATTAATGGATGAATGAATGAATGAATGAATGGATTAAACAATCAATCAATCAATCAATCGATTGATTGATTGATGACAATCATTTTCAATAGGCAAAAAAAAATAACTATAACTATAATCATCAATGGTAATATAATATATATCATCATTACATTTTTTACATTCATTTCTTTTGTGTTTGTATTGATTGATTTTACTTTTTTTTTATTTTATTTTCATTTTCATTTTCATTTTCATTGAAATTGATTGCATCCAAAACACATACATATATATGTAGCATATGTATAGATAAATAGAATGAATGAAAATGAACAACAACAACAACAGGAGCACTAACCAAATGATGATGATGATGATGATGATGAGATGACAATATTATCCATACTATTATCCAATTTCTAATCATCATCTTATGTATCAAATTCAATGAAAACATTCAGGATTACTTGAAACTACTGAATGAATTTTGTTTTTGTGTGTGTGTGTGTGTGTGTGTGTGTTGAATATTGATTGAGTGATTAAATAATTGAATGAATGAATGAATGAATGAATGGATGGAAATGTATACAGCAAAAATATCAACAACAACAACAACAACAACTGCAATGACTGCAACGACAACAAGACACGAGATCATTCACTTGTCTCTTATTTTTTTTTCTTCTTCTTCTTCTTCTTTTTATTGCACATAGAATTATTATTAATGTGATGATGATAATAATGATGATTTTGTTTCGTTTTTTTTCTATATTGATAACGATAATGATGATGATGATGATCAAGATTTTGTTACAAAAATATGAAAATATCGTACATACACACACACACACACAAAAAAAAACATGTATATGACTGATAAACTTTTGATTTTGATTTTGATTTTGATTTTTTTTTTCGATTATGAATACTTTTCCAAATTCTTTCTGGCCTTTTGGACCTAGACTTTATATAAAATGTCTGTGTCTGTGTGTGTGTGTGTGTAAGTGTGTGTCTGTTTCTTAAAAAAAAAATGTTTTTTTTTGTTTGACAAATCGTTGCTAGCATTCTGTTATCATCATCATCATCAAATGTTATAAAGGTCTAACTAATAATAATAACGTGTTAGCATGAAAGTGGATCCAGTGTCATTGTTGTCGATAATATGTCGTCGTAGTTGTTGTAAACTATTGAAAAAATAGTCAAGAAAAATGATAATAAAATGACAGAAGATGTATGTATGCTCAAATAGTCGAGCAATATACAATTTTTTTTTTTTTTTGATGATGATGATGATAATAATAGCTTCATCAATCTTAGGTTAACGAAAATTGTAGTCGTAATTTTTTTTTTTTTTTTTTACAACCAAATTGATTATATTGACGTTGAAAATGTGGTTAGAGAGAGAGAGAGAGAGAGAGAGAGAGATTATGGAATTTTTTTTTTTGTTTCACCGAGAAACATAAAATTTCTAATTTTTTTTTTTGCTACATATATATATATATTCCATTATGAATGATGATGAACATGATTCATTGTTGAATGTTGTATTTTGATTATGGTTTTGAATTATTGCGAGAGAGAGAGAGAGAGAGAGAGAGAAAAAAAAATTCATACACATGAATTAATTACCGGTGGCCGTCATTATGCAATTTTTTTTTTTTTTTTTTTTGGTTAGATGTATCAGCATTATCAACACAAGCAATTGAAATAATACATCGTCATCATTATCGTTGTCATAGACGTTGTTATTGATTCAATTATCATCATGCTGCCAAACACTTGTTGATATATTTGTTGTTGTATAAACTAACCATCATCATCATCATCATCATTATATATATCTGATGATGATTGCATGTAACAGTAGTTTGAATTTCAGTAACAACGAATATAACGAATATAATAGTTAGATTTTCGAAACATGAACAAATCAATCAATTGACAATGTTTGGACATGATTTTTTTTTCTATTTATTAAATGAATCATCAATTCAATATACATCAAAAAAATTATATATTTGGATCATCATTTTATATAAATGTGTCATTTTTTTTTTTTTTTTTTGATTTACTTTGGCCAAAATTTAAAAAAAAACCGGATCCATCCTATCCATATATGTATCTTCTAAGAAAAAAAAACTACTACTACAACTACTACCACCACTACTATTACTGCTACTGCTATTGCTACTACTACTACTACTATTTACAATTATAATAATCAAACAAATCTTAAAAACCATAATAAATTTAGCCGGTTAATTAATGATTATATTCCGATTATTATTATTATTATTATTGAAGTATAGTATACATTTATTGTTACTGACATAATCATCATCATCATCATCAACAACAACAACAACAACAACGACGACGACGATGACGACGATTGCGACGACGAAAACATCAAATTCGTTTCCATAATAATTTTTCTTCAAATAATACACAGCAACACATACAAATAATATATTCAATTAACTGTGTGTGTGTGTGTGTGTGAAAGAAAGATTGTCAACCAATGATTGGTATCCTAATAGAATCTCATGTAAAAAAAAAAAAAAAAAATTTTGTTGTTGTTGTTGTGGTTTCAATCATCAAAACATATATACCAACAACCATATTTCTCTTGTTCTCAAATCATTTCCATTTCTTTTCTATTTTCTTTTTTTTTTCATCATCATTGATTTCTCATATTTCTGGTCAATTTTTTTTTATACATATTTTCAATGATGATGATGATCTTATTTTGACACCATAATCATCGGAAATGAGCATTTATGCTAAAACAAGTGCATATATAATAAATAATGACCACAATAATAATAATTTATGTGAATAATGAATAAATCATAAAGAAACAAGAAGCAAGAAGCAAAAAGCAAGAAAACTTTCATTTCTATTTCAATTTTGTTTTGTTTTTCTTTCGTGTTTTTTTTTTGTTTTGTCGTTTTGTGTTGTTGCCCATTTATTGGATGTGATGTGATTATTTTTGTATTTATTATTGAAAATCCGTGATTCGTTTGCATAGAGGAATATAAAACATGCACACACGCATGGTATGGTATGGTATGGCGAGTTTTTTTTTTTTTTGGTTCAATCGTTTCAAACATTCAAACAATATATATGTTGATTCAATAAATTTCAACAAGTTTGTGCTTTCTCATTTGTAATGTAATGTGAATATTTATATATACAAACCAACTCAATGTATATATATATATATTGATCATAAGATCAAGCCGGTTATCATCAAACATTGATCATGAAATAATCGTTTGATTTTTTTTTCAAATGTCAATTGTATTATTACTGTTTTATTATATCCGAAATTTGAAAATTGTTTATGTTTATATATATTGTGAATTGCTTGGTGACATTTTACACTCATGCAATTTTTTTTTCACTTAATTAATTTCAATTCATCACAATATATATATATAGATATTCCATCATTCATTGTGCTGGGCACAAAATTCATTCATCATTTTTTTTACTCAATTATCAAATATCAAAATTGTTTGATTTGTTTCAATGATTTTTCATCGTTTGTTCGTTGTGTGTGTGTGTGTGTATGACCAATACACAGTGTTGGCCTTTGGCCATTGTAAATGATTCATATCGTTAAATTGTCAACAACAACAACAACAACAACAACGAAAAAAAAATTGACATCGTAGTTATTGTAATAGAATTGTAATTTTTATGCGAAAATAAAAAAAATTTACTAAATAGATGGCTTCCAGGCACTGGTGAAAACAAAAAAAAAACAAAACAGAAACAAACAAAATGTATTTATATCATCAAATGATGATGATGACGATGATGATGATGATGATCGACAATGAATCTGTGAGTTTTTTCCATTCATTCATTCATTTAATACACAGTTGATGATTATATTCGGTGTTTGGCAATGTCTCGTCACGAATATAATCAATTTTTTTTTCTTCACTTTACTTCACTTTACTGTTTTGTGTTTGATATGATTCATTCTGTAAATTTTGCCATCATTCCTATTCAGAATGATGGCAAAATTTCATATAAAAATACACACAGTTTTTGTTTTTTAATTTCATTGATAATAATTTTCATTCAAATTCCGTTGTGTGTTGTGTGTGTGTGTGTGTGTGTGTGTAATTCAATGTGTAATCAAAATTTTAATTGATTTTTTGCTCTACTTGTAGCAATACAGGAAGAAAATAATTGAATTTGTTGTTGTTGTTGTTTTTTCTAGATCATAGTGGTTTAGTGTTTTTTTTTCTCTGATTATTTATTGAAATTGTCATCATCTTCAACAAAAAAAAAACTTTTAAAAATTTTCTAAAGTGAAATCTTACAAATAACTCAGACATACACACACACACACACAGAGTGAGAGAAAAAAAAGGTAAGTTGATCTAGCCTAATGAAAATGGATTGCATCAACAATCCACTTGACCAAATATTATTATTATTGATTTTATTCTTATTCCTGTAATGAATTTTTGGATTATTTGTTTTTTTTCTTGTCGAATCATTGATAGAATTGTGAAAAAGATTTATTTTTTTTTGTTTGGAGATTTTTGTTAAATTGTTAAGTTTTTTTTTGTCCTTTTACTTTTTTTTGATTGATTTTTCTAAGAATTGTTATGATCATAGAAAAAAAAAAAATTCAATGCAATGAGTCGTCATCACACGTACAAAAACACACACTGGCAGACAGACAGATAGAGATAGAGATAGTAAGATTGTATGATGTTTTAGTTATTATCAAATGAAACATGACTCAGATTTTGATTTAGATGAGGATAATTAAATTTCTTTCCAATAATAAAAAAAAAAAGTAGTAGATACCAACTGTATCATCATCATCATTATTGTTATTATTATTATCACCTTCATCATCATCATCATTATTATTGGATTTCAATTGTGTTGGCAATGATGATGATGATGATGATAATAGTAAATAGAATTGTTGTCCAAAACACTATGTCGACATCCGTTGATAATGGATTGATAGATAGATAGATAGATAGATAGATAGATATAGTGGTATCCAAATATTATATTCAACCATATACAATTGATTTTAGAATTGAATGAAAAAAAAATGTATAGAATAGTAATATGAAGAATGGCAAGAATAACCAGGCAAAGAGAACTAAAAAAAAATGATGTGAAAAGATTCAAGTATGCTGTCCAAGAAGATAAAAGGATGAGTTGAAAAAAAAAATGAAAATGTTGAATACACTTTGAGCCATATCATCATCATCATTATTATTATTATTAATAGTAATATAATGGATGTGTGTGTGTGTGTGTGTGTGTGTTTTGTGTGTAGTTTACCATCAACAACAACAACAACAACAACAACAATATTAATAACAACAATGTTGATGATGATGATGATGATGATGACGACATCATCAACTTGATTAATATCCATGATACCCGATGGATGAAAAAAAAATAATAATAATAAAACATACTACACTGGGTAAATACTACAACATAGTTGATGATGACCAAAGTGCAAAGTGAATGAAAAAAAAAAGAAATTATGAATTATAATAATAATAAATATAAATATATAGAACCAGACAATGTGACATGTATAAAAATAATAAGATCAACTTTATTCTAGTAATGATGCAGAATATTATTATTTTTTTTTTGATTCTTCTTATTTTTAACAGAATCTTAAAGCCAGAAAAAATAGGACACACACACACACACACACACACACACACACTAATGTTTGTTTGTAGATGTTATGAATTAGAATGGATGAATTATTCTCAAAAAAAAATTGTAATAAAGTAAAATATTGAAGATTAAAGTGAATAGATAAAAACATGATGATATCGATCAGTATTTTTTTTTTTTTTTTTTTTGATTGATTACAAACAACAATTATGATTGACCATCATCATCGTCATCGATGGACTATGGTCAATTCTGTCATCAATGTGTGTGTGTGTCTGAAATTCTTGCCATACACACCATATTTAATATCGACTTGTTTATCGTTTCTCTCTATGTGTGTGTTGTGTAGCAATGGGTTTAATATTTTAAGCAACCAAAAATTAAAAAAAAATGATGATGATGATGATGAAATTTCAATTTCAAAATGTAATGACATCTTTTTCTTTTTTTTTTTTTTTTGATTTGTGTGAATTTTTTTCAATTTTTGTTTTTTTATTTTGCTTGTTTGTTTGTTTGTTTGTTTGTTTTTGTTTTCTTATTCTCATATTTTACAGGTTGGAAATCCGAGAAACCGGATTCTAAAACTACATTGGATTGTACCATTTGTTTTTTCCTCTCGAATTGTGTGTGTGTGTGTGCGAGTGTGCGAGTGTATGTGTACTAAAATATTTTTTTTTTGGTTTTCTACGGCACCTCACAAATGTTCATGTTATAATTTTAACCCCCCAAAAAAAATCATTGTTCTTTTTTTTCCCGTTGTTTTCGCTATCATATTGATCATTTTTTTTTGTATTTATATATCCAATATGTTTCGATATAGATCGATTGTCTACATTCAGTAGTCTAGATATCATTATTGAATTTCATTTCATTGATAAAATTTTTTTTGATTTGATTTGATTTGATTTAATCAATTGAATATGAATATTATCAGTTTGCTATTATGTATACATGATATATGATGGTAAGAGAAGAAAAAAATGCAACAAAAATTATCATTCAATCAGAAAACAATAAAAATCCATAAATATAATATAATAGAATGATGAAAGAAAAGCAAAAAAAAAAAAAAAAAAATCAAATTATCTGGCCATGATCTATAATAAATTCTAATCAATAATGTATAGCCAGTAAGATAAACTGTTTTTCATCATTTCAAATCAATGGATTTCATCCAATAATTAGAATAGACATCATCATTGTACCAAAAAAAAAAAAAAAAAAATGCCAACATAAAGATTATTCATGTGTTATCTATTTTTTTTCATTTAATTTGAATTGACCATGGAATTTAAAAAAAAAAAGAATTGCTATTGTATAGTAATCTATTTCATCAATCTTTCTATTTCTGTGTGTGTGTGTGTATGTTGTATGATAAAACCAAATACAATAGAATGGATGGATAATACAACCTAATGGTGGGGTAGAAAGAAAGTTTTTAAAACAAAAATCACATCATAAAACAGAATCAATGATTGGGTTATTGATTGATATATGTCACAATCATTATTGACATATGTGTGTGTGTGTGTGTGTGTGTGTGTGTGTGGAAAGTCAATCATCATCATCATTTATATCACAATACAACAAACAAATAGCAGAAATTAATGATGATGACAATTGTTACCAAAGATAACAATTGAAAACAATCATAATTTTTTTTTCTTTTTCATTGCGTTAAAATGTTAAGACATACACATACACACACACACACACACATAGAGAGAGATAAACGTTAACACAGACACACATACTCACATACTCACACAGGTCAAGCCAAAAAAAAAAAAAAAATGAAAATGAAAATGAAAATAAAATCCTTTAAAAAGCGATCAATTTTCATTAGTTTATATTTTAGTATTTGATTCATTCATTATTGTTATATATATTGATTAACTAATGAAATAAAAAAAAAATTTTTCTTTTCATTTTTCATTTAAAAAGTTAATCATTTTGAAAAAATTTTCGAAACATGAATCATTTGGAAAATGATGTCCAATCATCATCATCATCATCATCAAGTATTTCCGTTATTTTATTTGAAAATGAAAAACATGATTATGATAATCATCATCATAATAATAATAATAATTATGTTGATGATTATATTTCGCCAATAAATCCAGATAAAAATTTATTATTCGATAATATTGGCTCATCATCATCATCATCATCGTCTTTTGAATCAATTTCAATAACATCATTAAATTCAACGATCGACCAATCCAAACAATTGTATCATCCTCAACAACAACAACAACAACAGGAACAATTTCAGCAACAGAAACCAAATTCATTGCCGGCACTTGTCAACGATCAATCGATATTTGGTACAAACGATTTTTCTTATATTGATGATTCAATATTGTCATTATCATCGCCATCACCATCATCATTTTCATTGCTTACATCTTCAATATTATTCGATGATTTTGATCGATTTTTTGATCAACAACAAAAACTTGAACAAATGACCAATAATCAAAATCTGTTATCATCATCATCATCATCAACATCAACATCATCGACAACAACAACAACAACACAGCCGAAGCCGCAGCCAATTCCACTGCCATCTTCATTACCATCATCCGGTTTGATTTCGGAAATTGTCCAAATGCAACAAAAACAACTAACAACAACAACAGCAGCAGCAGCAGCAGAAACAATGGACATGCATGATGAGGAGATAAACATGATCCAATCGGACATTTTCGTCAATGATAATTCATTAATGATGACACAAAGAAAAGAATCATCAACAAATTCTTCATCGATTAATCATTCAATTTCATTAATAAATGATTGTGTTGATAATAAACAATCATCATTGTATAACAACAATTCATATAGTACAAAATTAGGTCTCAATGATTTATGGCCTTTATCATCAACATCATCATCATCATCACCATCAACATCATTTCCGGTAGATCCAACAATGATGATTTTTGATGATATATCAACAAATTGGCCAGATTTGAATCACGAATTCGATATGATGACTGATTTAGGATTTTCACCAAATCGTCAACATTATCATCAACAGTATCATTATTCTCCACAAATGAATAATTTCGATTATGATATGAATAGAAACTCAACATTAGATGAATTCTCTATTCAAACTAATGACAATAATAATAACATTCATTCTGGTAAGATATCGATCTAATCATCATAAATTGATTTGTATAATAATGATTCTATTCTCATTCTCCCTCTTGTCCAAAAAAATAGATCATCAATATAAATCAGCAATAATCGAATCAAATAAATCTAGTCCATCACTACTATCATCGTCATCATCATCATCATCATCAAATATATCGACATCAACATCATTAATGATGAATGATTCAGGAATAGGTAGCGATACAGAAATTTCAATGAATTCATCATCAACATTAACATTAACGGATTCTATTTCACCGACATATTCATCTACATATGATCATAATCATCATAGCCATTCATTAGGAATTTTCAATCATTCCACAACAAATACATCTACATTAGATCAGCTGTATAATTCGAATGAGAATCATGATTATAGTTATGATCCATTTCTAAGCGATACAAGTACCTATCATACGAACAATCATCATTACTATGGTAATAATAGCAGTAATCGAAATGATGATTTTCACTCAATTACACTCAAACTTGATCCAAATTCAAATCGTCAATGTAACAATAATAATGATCATGGAGATATTATTACTGGTTCATTATCATCAACATCAACATTATCACCATCAACAACAGCAACAGCAACAGCAATAGAATCTTCATGTTATAATAATAATATTTCACAGAATCAAATTTTTGAAGAATATTTGAATTCAACAGTATCTATAGCGCCATCTAAGTTTAATGAATCGAATTTGATTCAACCAAAACAACAACAACAACAACAACCTAAAGCGGAAATTCAGAAAACAGCAACAACAATGACAGCACCGAAAAAAATTGGTAGACCACCGAAAAATGTAAATAATACGAATAAATCGAATACAAATAAAGTGAATAAAAAGCAAAAGTCAACAACAACAACATCGAAGTCGAAAACAATGATGGAAACCAATGGTCATTTATCTGGTACTGGGGAACAATCGAATTTGATTGAAACAATTGATAAAAAACGATCAATATCATCGAATCAACAACAATCGATAAACAACACTACAGCTGATAGGCAATTTGTATGTACTTATGATGGATGTGGTAAAATTTATTCAAAATCATCACATCTAAAAGCACATCTTCGCCGTCATACTGGTGAAAAGCCATTCGCTTGTGATTGGCCTGATTGTAGTTGGAAATTTTCACGTTCAGATGAATTATCAAGACATCGACGATCACATACGAATGATAAACCATATGAATGCCCAATATGTCATAAAAGATTTAGCCGTAGTGATCATCTAAATAAACATCTTAAAGTACATCGTAAAGATTTTCCTGAATCAAAATTTAATTTTACATTCTATATGCGTCGTGGCCAGGTTGGACGTAGACCAAAATCTGTTAGCTATTTAAATCAAGAAGTAATGCAAGAACAGAAACGTCGTATTGAAAATCAATTGGCTGAAGCTAAAAAAGAATTATTAATGAAACAACAATCATTACAATCAAATCAAGATTTATTGATTAATAATAATAATAATAATAATAACAACACACAGAATTTATATTTCATCAATACAGAATCAATCGATACAGAATAATAATGATGAAATCATATATCGATTTATATATGATTATTAATTTCAATATTTTTTTTTGATTCATATTTTATTATTAATTAACACTGGATTCCTATTGAATTTTTTTTTGTTTCCATTTTTTTCTAGTCCGAATTTGAAACAAAACAAAACAAAACAAGACAAAAAATTATTAATTTTAAGAGAAACAAAAATCCTCCCTACGAATTGTATTCTTCTTTTTTTTTACAAACTTTTCAAATGTTTATCTTTTATAAAATTTTTTTTCTCTAATAATGACCATTCAATGTAATTGATTTTTGTTTTCTTTACATATAATAATAACATATGTATTGTATATCTGTAAACTGATGATGATGATGATGATGATGATGACTCTGTAATCAAGAATTTTTTTTTCTGTTTTTTTTTGTTCTCTCATTTCTCATACAGAATTATTATTAGTTTGATAATTTTTTTTCTCTTTTTTTTGAATTATTGATATATTTATTTCCAATTTCCAATCAATCTATTTTTATTTTTATTTTGTTTGTCTGTTTGTTTGTATTTATATATATATCGTTTTTATTATATTGAATTATTTCGTTATTTTCAATGAATTTGTGTTTTTTTTTCACTGTGGATGTAAATATATGACGTTGATGATGACGTTGATGCTGATAATGATGATGATGAATAATAAAATTTTAATGGCGATGATGATTTAAAAAAAATTTGATTGATCAAAAAAAATGATTAGAAAAAGCCTTTCTCCTCTTTGGAATCTTGACGTTTAGAATCATCAATATCGATTAATGATGATGATGATGATTTTATTTTACCCACATTGCCCACATTATCAGTCGCAACATCTCGATCATCATCATCATCAAGAACACCATAATAAGGATTTTTAGCAATTGATGATAATTGTGCTGGCAATTGATATTGATGATAATTTTTTTGTTCAGATTTAAGCATATCCAACGTTTGACTACCACCACCACCACCACCACCGGTTGGTTTTTTTTTCATTTGAGGATTTTCATAACGTAAATTATGGCCTATGAAATCAATCAATGTATGAATATTAATTAATATAATACTTGAGAACTTGTGTACTTACTATTTGCATAGATTGATTGTGAAAATTTTTGTCCAATTTGAATTTTATGTTTATTATTCTGATGATGATGACGATAACGATCATTAGCATTTTGTGTGGTTTGATCATCAAATTGTTGAACATTGTTTGAGATTGTTGGAGAATTGGCAACATTTTTATAAATAGGAGAATTTGGAATAATAACTGGTGATGTATGTGATTGTATTGTATGACCATGTTGAAGATAATTCGGCATTGTTAATGGTGATAATTGCAACATTGTTGTTGTTGGTGGTACAACGCTATATTCAGGCATAACAGATATTAATGATGGATTAAATGGCATTAATGAATTCATTAATAAATCGTTTTGTTGTGGCAAATAGCTTGGATATGGTGGAAAATAAAGTGAATAATGTGGATGTGAAATTGAAATTAATGCATGATTCCTATTCATAATAGCATTCTTATGTCGTTTAAATAATCCAGATAGAACAGATTCTTCATTGGTCGATGATGCAAATGATAGTGGCCTATGTAGTAATGATGATGCAACCAATAGGCCATCATCATGATGATCAAATTTTTTTGATCGAATACGTTGTGACCATTGTTGTTGGTGGTGGTGGTTAGCATCAACAGCAGCTAATGAATATTTGAAAATTAAAAAATGAATGATTATCATCATCATCATCATCATCAACACCGGTGGATAGTTGTCCATTTTGATAAGATTAATTTTTTCCAAAAAAAAGAAATTGAAAATTATCACTGTGAATATGGATAGAAAAGAATGAATAAAAAAAATTCATGTATTGATACCAAAAAAAAAATGATCACCGTTTATAACGTTGAATTTCAATGATTGCATATTCTCTGTCTCTCTCTCTCCCGTTTTCTCTTGGATATCCAAATCGAAAATTTTCAAGTCATGCTCTATATTTATAAAATGATGGATGGACGGTGAACAAACAAACCAGGACAATTAAAAAAAAAGATTGACCAAATTTAAATGTAAAATGCCATTTTTGGCAGTCAAAAATATTTATTGATAAATTATTATCAATGGTCAATGTTTAGCATTAATCTTAAATACAATCGATGGAACATTATCATCATGTGTTTTAAATATGGAATCAAAATTTTCATCAATAACAATATCATTGGACATGCTATCAACATGTTTCTGTATTCTATTAACCCAAAGTGGCCGTTCGATACGATTCAATTGACGCCATTCTAGATTACATTGTTCTAATTTTTGTTGAAAAATATCTAATATTTTTGGGTTACGTATAGCACAACATATGATGCAATCAGGATCACGTCGTAATGAATCGGCATTTTTATAAACATTGAACATTGTTCTCAATGTTTGTATGAATGGTTCGATAAAATTTGGGTCATATATTACATCAGAAGCAATTATCAGATCACTAATGGAAGCAGAAAAATCAAAAAATTGATAATCAATCCAATCAAGTTTCTGTATGACTACTTGGACATTATTGTTTGTCTTTTGATTAATATCATTGATGAATAAATTCAATTCAATGTGTTTCAATACGGCCTGATTATGATCAGTGAATATATAATGACCGTTATTAATGAAACCAGATTTGATAAGGCCAACTCCCAATAATCCAGATCCAGAGCCTAATTCAACAACATTATGCCAGGCATTTGGACGATTCCATTGAACATTCTGATAATTTTCCGGTATTCGTAGATAATTCAATAGATGAACAGCTGCTGGCCATGTTCTTAAACCAGTGGTACCAGATTTAACAATTTTATTCGTTTCAATTATCGACAATCGAAACATATCGAATACATGTGTGACAAAACCAATGTTTGTATCGTTTTCAAACAATCGACATAAACGATCCAAAAGATCAATACCATTTTCATTTAAATCTTGATGATATGATCGATCAATTTGTTGTGTTTTGATGCTTATTAAATCAGCATATATTGGATAGATTTCATCCAGAAGGCAATCAGTATCGAAAATTTGTTCAAAAATTCGAATCAATTGTTTTAAATATTGTCGTATATAATTCAAAGGCAGTGGATATTTTTCAAGTCGTTTGTTTAGTATTGTATATGAAAGTAATTGTTTCTGTACATCATTCAAACATTCAATCTTTTTGTTTCCATCTTCATCATCATTATTGACAATTTGATGTATTCTCCATTTAAGTATGAGACGCTAAACAATTAACAATATATATATCATTTAGACGATTGAGAAAAAATTCGAATGAAAAATACTTACGATAAATGGTATCAATACATTGAGACGAGTTTGTTGTAGAAATAAAAATTCAATTAATTCAAAATCATAACTCATCGTGAAATCAGTTTCTTTCATTCATTTTTCCTTTTTTTTCATCTTGAATCAAAAAAAAACAGCTGTTATCGTCATTATCTGCCATCTTGTGTATTTGGAAAAAAGTTTCTGTCAAAAATCGAGTAAAAACAAGTTTTTTGTTCGCTCGAACGATTGATTGATCGATCAAAAGATAAAACCATTGCCACCGAATGATTATTTTTCATTGCTAAATATTTGTATTTTTTTTCCTCAATCATCATTGAATCGTGTGGCAACGAATTCAATTCAAATCCGATTGATCTAATCAACTAATGGAATCGTCAATTTATTCCGATTACATTGATTCACATAATGAATTAAAAATACCTACTACTTATGGTCATATTTCAGCTAAAACATGGCACCATGACAGTCCTAAACGATTTAAAGTTCTTGCTGTCCATGGATGGCAGGTATTTATTGGTTATATTTCAATTTTCACATTTTAATCAATGTTTTTTTTCCGAAGGACAATGCTGGAACTTTTGATCAACTTTTTGCTCGGCTTTCATCCGAATCAATGTATATTGTTGCAATCGATTTACCTGGTCATGGATTCAGTAGCCATTTACCTAAAGGTGTTCCATACACTGATCTAACATGGGTGATTGCAATCAGACAAGTTTTAGAATTTTTAAATTGGAAATCTAACGTCACAATTATCGCCCATTCAATGGGTGCATTGGCTTCACTGGATTTTGCGGCATTGTATCCTGAAATAGTAACCAGATTGGTGATGATCGATACGATTAAACCACGAATTTATGAATCCGATCAATTGGCTAAAGAATCTATGGAAAGCATTTCATTGTTTTTACGTACACAAAACATATCAAATAGACCAAATTATAGTTTCGATGTGGATAAAGCGATTAATGTTATAACACAAACACATTATAATGGTAATCTGACGAAAAATGCTGCATTTTGTTTGATGCAACGAGCAGTTGATTTTCAACCAAATGGTACGGTGAAATTTCGTCGTGATCCACGTCTCAATTGTATCATACGAAGAAAATTTGAAAAATGTCAACTTAAAAATTATTTAAATAATTTAAAATGTCAATTAATGATATTACGTGCACGTAATACACATCATACATTGAAATGTAAACATGATCAAGATTTTATTGAATTTTATCGTAAAAAATGTTCAAAATTTCAATATCATGAAATTGATGGTGACCATTATGTTCATTTAATTCATCCGTCCAATGTTGCATTATTGATTGATGATTTTATTAATCATGCTCAATAATAATAAAAATTTGTTGAAACCCAATTTAATATAACCTGATTATTTTGTTTGCTCTAATTTACGTTGAATAAATGAAATTTTTAGCCCATTAATCGAACGTAATATCATTTCACCAACAATGACAAGCTTATCACGTGGATCAATTGATCTAAGATAAAAATGTCTAATGATTTTTGCAATAACAATTTTCACTTCATTCATAGCAAATTTTTGTCCAATACAATTTCTTGGTCCAGCCGAGAACGGTATAAATGAGAATGGATGTCTTCCGCTACAATTTTCTGGTAAAAATCTTTCTGGTAAAAATTTTTCCGGTTCAGGATAAATTTCTGGATCACGATGTAATACATAGGTGAATATTCCTACAGTGGTTCCTTTTGGTATAATGTAACCATCTAATTTTTTTTTATTTTTTAAATTCAATAATAATAATAATAATCAATCAATCAATCAATCAATTGAATTGGAATGAATGTATGTTTTCCATGGCAACAATTTGACAATATACTTACTAATTTTAGTATCTTCACTTAAATCACGTCCAATGAATGGCGCTGTTGGATATATTCGTTGTACTTCTTTGATAACACAATCAAGATATTTTAATTGTTTAATTTCATCAATAGAAAGATCGATATTTGATTCACTACAATCAAATACCATATCGATTTCATCGCGTACTTTTTGCTGTATATCTTGATGTATGCCTAACATGTATAATGTCCAACTAATTGCATGTGATGTTGTATCATGTCCCTATTGTTTTTTTTATTATTATTATTCATGTCACACAAATCGATATCAATGTTTTCAAATTTACAAATAATCAATATCAAATCATTAAAAAAAAATGAATTTACTTACAGCAAACATAAATGTATCCACTTCTTCACGTAAATCTTCTAATGTTAATTTTTTTGTCACCAAATGATGTTGAAGCAACAGATCAAGAAATGCTAATCGATTACTATTTTTAAAGAATTTTGATGTTTTAATCATATCAAAATCATCTACCATTGATTCATGTTCATCATCATTATGATTATGATTGGATAAAAATTTCATCCATTCATTACGTCTTTCTTTGATCACTTTCATTGTAAAATTTTTTGTTTGTTCAACAGATCTATGTGATTTTTTTTTCAAACCAAATAAATAACAATTCATTTGATTATTGAAATTCAATTATTCAATTACAAACCTGTTGAATAATCGTCCATATGAGCTTATGTTGAATGTAATATTTGGCCATAACCATGGTCTCATTAGGCGAATTAAAAAAATTCTACTTATATTATATAATGCTTCCACATATTCATGATTTGAATTGGCTTGTAGATTTAATTTAACACCCATTGCCGTTTCACAGATAATGTCCAACATACATAATGTTATAATAGGTACAACATCCATCTCAATAGTATCATTATTTGCATTTGTTGTTAATCGATTTAATTTTGCCACCAATATGTTTGATTGTTCATTGATGATTGGCAGAAAATCTTCAATTATACGAAAATGGAAATGCCGGTGTTAATATTTTACGTCGACTACGCCATTTTTGTCTACCACTAGTAACAAGACCTTCACCTAACCATGAATTAAGGAATCGATATTCGGCCGATTTTTGTGTTAAAGTATTACTATTCAAAATAACTTCTACATCATCTGGTCGATAAAGTAATACCAATGGTTTCAAACCAATCCACATTCGACATATGCCTTCTTGTTGATAGATTTTATTCACTGATGATACCATCTGATAGATTACTGATGGTGATTATGAATAAATATTTAATTTTATTATAAAAAAAATGAATGTTTGTCATATGTATAAACAATACTCACATGCATATGTACCATGTTGATAATGGCAACGATCTAAATCCAATACAATATATGCATGACCAAGCCATGGTACCCATGGATTAACTGGTGGTCCAGGAATTTTATTCACAATCGATACTAATTGATATTGTCGTCGTACAATGGATATGATAATAAATGCAAATAATGATATTAAAATCATATATTTAATCAATGAAGATGATGATACAATGAACGATGTTGTAGTTATGGATAATAATTTTTCCCATGATTGTGATTCAATAATAGTTGTACTATATTGATTGAGTAAACAATTGAGATTACCGATGAAGATTGCCATTTTTCGTTTTTGTTTTTGTTTTTTATTTTTGTCCAATCACATTTTGAAATTTGCATAGAAAATAAATTCAATTAATCAATTTAGGCAAAGTAAAAAAACAATTAAAATTTCACAATTGAAATGTTTGATTGATTGAAGAATCACGATGAAACACGGCAATAATGACATTCAAAATCCAATAATTGTCAAGACGTGAATATGATGATGAACAGAACAGAACAGAACAGAACAGAAAAAAAATCAAATGACCAGTTTGGATCCAATGTTATATACCGAGGAATTATGAAATGTAGAAAATTTGTCAGGAAAAAGAAAAAGAAAGAAAAAAAAGTCATTCAGAGAAGTATAAAAAAAATGTTGATTTGCTTTTTTTTTGAAAAAAAAGTCGATGATGAATTGATTGTCAAACAACACCTTTTTTTCTTCTTAGTTCTGTCTATTCTATCAATGAGATTTTTTTTTGTTGTCAAAAAACAACAACAACAACAACAACAACTTTGATTTGAAAAAGGAAACGATAATAAAAGAGACAAACGTCGATGACCAGAGAAGAAAAGATCAAAGAAAGAGAAAGGATGCACGCGGGAAAACTTTTTATTTTTGTATATTTATTCGAATCGGTGAATTATATATATATAAACTGTGAATGTACACAAGAGATTTTGAATATAATGTGTTTGTGTGTGTGTGTGTGTGTGTGTGTATGGTAATTGTTAGAAAATCTCAAACATTTTCAATTCATTTGTATTGAAATGAAATTAAACGGTAATTTGTGTGTGTGTGTGTGTGTGTGTGTGTGTGTGTGTGTGTATGACCAATGATGATGATTCAGGCGTACAAAAGTTTTGGATGTTTTTTTTGGTGGTCAACAATTAATGATGATGTAGATTTTCATTTTCATTTTTTTTGTTTGTTTGTTTTCTTCTTTAGTAAATCGATAATCGTTACCAAAACGTAATTTGAATATGAATAAAACTACAATGTGGAAAGAGAAATTGGATTTTTTTTTTTTTTGTCATTGTCATTTATTTCACCATCTTATTTCATATCTTGATCAACATCATTGATTTGGTAATGGTCATCATGATGATCAAAAATTTTTTTTTTGTCATCAACAATAATAATGAAATTGTTGAAACAACAATTTATATATGCTTGAAAAACCTAATCACATGCACAACATGACCACTTAAATTCATTCAAAAACAAAAACCAAATAGAATCATATAGAAAATATATATATATATATAATTGTGAATGTCAAAGTCAGCCAACAATAGTTGATCGAATAAAATTAGGTCAAAAATTTCACTTAAACCAAACACACCTGCTGCTGCCACTGCTGATGCTGCTGCTGCTGCTGCTGCTTCAAACCAATTAACTAGCCATTCTCGAAACAAATAGGAAGTGAATTCATTCATTGCAACATTCATGAATGACTGAAGTTCTTCTTCTTCTTCAAAAAAAAAAAAAAAATTCAATTTAATCCATTCAAAACTTTTTTTTTCTTTTCTTTATCCAATCAGCATGCTGTAAAAAAAAAACTCACTTGACACTGGCCTCCAATCTATACAACACACAACACAGTTATATTGTTCATTTTAATCATAGTTGATTCATTGATTCGAATACAAGTGAATTATTATTATTTTTTTTCCGTTCAAAAGAATTATCATCATGTGTTGTGTTGTTGATGTCAAGTGGAGGTTTTTTTTCTTCTTTTTTCTTCTGATTATAATAAATAAATATAAAACTTTAAATCTATTATAATCATCATCATCATCATCATCATTGAACAATGTTTACACTTTGTTTCTTGTTTTGTTTCAATTGGAACAACTTGTTGTTCTAATTTTTTTTTCTTTCTTCTCAACTTTTGGCGTTGGCGACGATTGTTTCGGTTGTTGTTGTTGTTGTCGTTGTTTATATCATTTGATTGATGATGACATCTGTCATGGTTAAAGCATCATCATCATCCATGTATACTTGAATGATAGGTCATTGTTTAAAATTGTTGTTTGTTGTTGATGTTATATGGTATATAAAAAATGAAATCGAAAATGAATCAATTGAATTGTACTTTTGATCAAGGATGAGATATTCATCATTGATATATTGGCCATTGCCAATGCCATGACGGATATGATGATGATGGTGATGATGATGATTTACTTTATAAATGTTTTTCTTTTTTTCAAGGATCAATCGATGGTCAATGTTATACATACAACAGATTTGATGATTGTTGTTCCCCGTGGATTTTTTTTTGATAGTTCAAAGTTCAATGAGAAATTTAAAATTTAAAAATCAATTCATCATTGATGGTCATTTATATTTACCATTTTCATTTCGATTTCATCTCTCTCTCTCTCTCTCTCTGTTCATTCTTGTTGTTGGCTAGAATCGATATATGGAATGGTTGAATGTCCATGTCCATGTCCAACAATCTAAACGTACGTAAACAAACAAAATGATTCTCACAAATCAGACATAAAATAAAATAATTTTTTGTGTACATTGTGTTCAACAAGAGAAAAAACAGTAAAAAATTCACATTTTTCGATCATCATCATTATGAATGTGGTTGAAACGAAATTTGATTTGATTTGGTCTATACAATGTTGTTATATTATTATTATTATTATTATCATCATCATCATTTTTTCAAACATACAAATTGCCATAATGACCATATTAATGTGAATATAAACATTCATTTTTTTTTCGTTGTTCATAATCAAAATGTCTTTTGTTGGAACGATGATGATGATCATCAACGATTAAGACGACGATTGGCACCAATATTGTATCGTTCGTATAGAGTTCAAGCCAATCATTGAATAGAAAGTGCAATGGACTGACAAATTCACAATGGATTTTTGTTTTCAGTTCCAGGATTTTCTTTTTTCCTTTCATTTCATTTTTTTTTTTTTATTTGTGATGACAAAAAAGAAGAAAATTTTTTTTCGCTTTTCTTTTATTCGATTTTTTGTTGTTGTTGTTATTATGATCAAGTATGTGCTAACGACATCATCATCATCATCATCAATGATGGTCATTTCAATGATTGATCAATAATGATGATGATGATGATGATGATGGTGATTATGACAAGTGCTGGTTTTCCCATTTTGTCGTTATTGTTGTTGTGAGACATTAATTGATTTTAGCAAACATTCTAATGGTGGATAATATTTTTTTTTTCTTAACGCTAAAATTTTAGCATATGTTCAAGATAATTAAAAAAAAAGAAAAAAATTTCCAAATCGAATCATCAAATCAAATCAAATCAGATTTGTCAATATATACCTTATATACAGGGCGTCTGTAAAGTATTGTAGAAAAAATTCTGGATCGAATTTGTAACTAAATGCTAGTAGTAATAATTTGGGTATAGTCGATAATAGTAGTAGTAGTAGTAGTAATAAAAACTGTTATTACAAATGGCCCATAGAAATGCTATAAATGGTTCTTTACAATACCGCTGCTTATCGAATATTTTGAGCAAACTCTTTTGATTTTTTTTATATGGCCATGTTATCGATCAAGCAACAGCCCGAATTGTAGCGACAAATAAACGATGATGACGATGACGATTCTAGTCCAGAAAAATCTATTCTATTTTTTTTTTAAACATATGTTTTAGCCATTAACAATTCTCAATTATTATATTGTTATTATTATTATTATTATAAAGTGTTTTTAACAATATTTTTTTTGTTTGTTTGTATTGTTCAACAACAATGGAAAAAATTCTCATTGAAATCCGACATGAATGTTCACAGAACATGTCCACCGATTTGATCAAATATTGTGATGCTATTCTAGGTTTGTCATTAATGGTCGTTTTTTTTGTTCTTTTTGGTTATAATTAATTTTGTCTATCCATAGATTCAATACAGACTCATCTAGTCGAATCGAATCTCGAACAACATGAAAGTCATCTTCAATTGATTTTACAATTGTTCAAAATTTGTGTTGAAAATAATGTATCTAAATTGAATTTGTTGAGCATCGATTTGCTTAAACTTTATATGAGACAAACGAATGAATCGAATAATGATTCATTGAAAGGTTTGTGTTGTCATAGTACTTTACTTTAACCATGTTTTCATTAACATTTTGTTTTCAAATAATGTTTAGAATATACGATAAATCAGATATTAAAATTATATTGCAATATATTCAATAAAAATGGTACCTTAATATCACTTGAATTGTTGGGTTTCATCATCGAAGTTGCGGCCACATTCGTAACACATTTAACCATTGTACATGTGATCGACATAATTGAATTGTGTCATAAACAAATTAAAGAATATGTTCTAAATGGTTCGAATAGTTCGGCTAATTCTTCTAGTCAACGAGCTTCATCAACGTTACGAAATTTGTTTACAGCAAATAAAAATTCCAATCAAGATAAAGTATTTTCAGCCATCTATATGACAGCCGGTCAAGTTTGTCATTATTTTGTGAAAAATAAAATTGTCGAACATCGTCATCAATCTGTATCGGGTGAAGAAAATAGTAAATCATCACAGGATTTCATTCATCTAATGCTTTATCTAATCAAAAAACTTGAAACTAAAGTCAGCTTTTTGAATGAAGTAGAATTATCACGTTGCAATACAGATAAACATGGTGATAATGAACGTATTAAATCATCGATTAATGAAACTAAAGTTGAAATATTTATACTGATAAAAACATTCAATTGTTTCTATCTGAAATGTATTCATTTTGTTTTATTAACTATACCGGATGCATGGAAACATATGACGAATCGATTGATGGAGGTCATATGGAAACATTTGGCACCAGTTCTCATTCACATATTGAATCCAACATCAATGATTTCTTTGTCGAATTTGAATTCCACTGATTCATCAATGGGAAGTAATCATGGTGAAAAAAGTCAGACATTTTTTGGTCGTGGATCAGAAAAATTGCATCTAAGTTCACCGGTCAATCGAAAACATCATACATTGAATTGTTTAAACTATCAGGAACGTCAATACATGTATAAAATTTCAATGGAATTACTTCGTTTGTTTGGTCTCGAGAGTTCAATGCGTCCAATATTGGAAGCTTTATTCTATAGAATTTTTCTTTTACCACCATTGAAACAAAGACTTGATTCATTAGTATATATACAGGAAGTGTTCAAGAATCCATTGTTGGTTTTGATTCTAATCAGTGATCCAATATGTTTATTTGGGCCTTCCGTTTCCAATTCACAACATTTGGATTTGGTTCAGATATTTATCGATGCAATCAAAGAAGCAATACTTTGTGATGATTTGGTTCTCAATCAATTGAGTTTAGTATGTTTGGCGTCGTTATCGTGTACATTGAAAAATATTGCTACGCTAGAACTATGTGCTGATCGAACTATGAACGGTGACAGCATCAACACGAGTGATTCGAAAATTTTAAATTCTCCAATCACAAAAATGATCTGTTCATATGTGGAACGAAATAGTAAAACATTTGAATCAACCATTAACAATAATAATAATAATTTGACCAGTCGAAGTCATTTACGTTCGACTAGTCGTATGGCCAAATATAGCACACCAAAACCACATGATCGTCATTTTAATTTTTCATCAATTAAAGATCGAATTTATGGTTATGATATGATTACATCGCTTGAATCCAGAATACAATCAAAAACAACAATTGTTTTGTCATCCAACTCGATTCAAGAGACTCAATCCATTCGAACACAGAACGAAAATGCTGCGAAAGCACAAAACAGTTCTAATTATGAGGATATTGATTATCGTGATAAACTTAAAGCTTTGATCTCATCATCATCAACAGTCACATCATCATCATCGTCACCATCACCATTGGAAAAAAAGAATGATACAATTCTCCATCAATCGAATCATTCGAATAATCAATTACCAATTTCTGCATTTCGTAGTTCAAGTTTTCATCTTTCATTCGAAAATCTTCATCGTCTTTCATCGTGGAATCTAGATTTAGATGTGAATAATTTAAGATTTACAAACAGTGATACTAAATTAGATATGCTTTATCGTGGTGATTTATCATTTATTGGTGATGATGTCCTTATCGATAAAAATTTCGGTGATGATATAATTAGCATGGAAGATAGTTCAGTTTTTGATGAGATATCTACGACTGATTCTGATGCTCACAGTCATAATTATGATGATGCTAATTTTGAATCCGATGATGCTAATATTGAAACATTTGTTATGTCAAAAATGTTTCGCTATCCTAAAGGTCCAAATTTTCAATCATCCAATCTTTGTTTTTTTGAAAGATTATTGGCACAAATTTTCGTTCGAAAATTGTCAAAAATTCTACCTGAATTAGCAAATTGTCGAAATTTGTTTGCAGTTGACGAGGCTATTCAATCATTTGCTTCGTTATATTGTAAAAATTTATACATCAATCTAAATTTATTGATGCGATCAAATTTTGAAAATCAATCCACATTGATCGATTTGGAAGAACAAGAAATTGAAAAACTACGAAATTATAAAGATTTATTCAACAATTTATTCATCAATGCTGATGGTATATATTTAACTACCTATCTGACAATGTTGTTTAATTTAAAATTACAATCTTCAAATTATTATGAAAATGATATGAAAAACAATATACCAATCACTGAAAAAGCATTCGTTGATGATATTTTTGACTATCATATCACCATTTATGTTTCACAAAATTTTTTGGCCGAAATCTATCAAAATGTTTTGGCTACAAATCTATTTGGTTCAATTTATAATGAATATCGATCTGATTTTAATAAATTACCTCTAGTCAAATTTCTAATGGATATTGATATTATTGATCGTAACAATCCTGATGCATTTAAATTATCCGATTATGTTCGTCTAGAACAAGTGGCAACAAAACATCATCAGTTTCAACAACAGCAATCAAAAATTGATTTGAATGATCAACAAAACCGGTGTAAACAACTAAATCTATTGATTAAACGATTTTGTCATTGTTTTTGGGAGCCAATTATTCTTTGTTCACGGCAATCATTGAGTAAAAAGTTTACTTTCCAAAACATGGTTCAATTAATCGAATCTTATAATGTAACCTATTTAAGTTCTGTTTGTTTGCTATTCAAATGTGACAACAAACATTCGTTGGCTCAAACTAAAAATGTAAGTATCAAATAAGAAGAAATGAAAAATGTTCGAAAAATTTTTGTATCGATTTTCATTGATTCGTCCCCATTTTCTTTTGTTTACCATTCACAGACAAACATCAGTATACAGATAATTTTGGTATTGTTTGACATTTGCGAAAAAGTTGGATACTATAATCAAATTGACAAAATTTATGGCCTTCTTTATCAATATATTACGAAATTTTGGCATCAAAATCCAAAAAATAAGAACGAGCTTAAAAAATCATTATCATCAAACGATGTTGTTCAACAAACATTTGGACATGCAAATTTTTCCTTTGCACAAATAATTGCATTGAAAACATTATTATCAAGTCCAATTCGTATTGGCAGCCGTTGTCCACGGATATGGAAAAATGTTCTTGATCTATGTAAATTTGTTATTGATGTAGAAAACTATACATTTCGTTCTAGTCGAACAAGTTTACTTAGCCGTGCTAGAATTTCAATCAATACGATTCTTAAATCAAATTCAATGTCATTCACTTCTGGTAATGCAAATTTTGATTCAAATCTTCATGCAGATCATTATCAAAATCTTTATGATCATACGGCATTTAATCAATTTCCCGGTATAAATGAAGCTGAATATTTGAATTTTGAACAACAATTCGATATTGTTTTGAATGAAATTAAAACACGAAAACAAGAACTTGAACCAGATTCTAAAGATATGGAACAGATTATCGAATATCTATCATTATTGGTGTCACAAATTTTCGAAACAATTCCATTGAAATGTAATCTATCATTATTGAATAGTTTCATCTGTGAACTATGTGATTATAGCAAAATGCAATTGATTAAATTGAATGATCAAATTGATTCGATGAATGGATCACAATCAAAACCGATGATGACATTGATCATGAACACAAATCAATGGTCTAGTCAGGATTGTAAATCATTAATGTTATTTCGTTTGGTTGAAGTAGTATTACGATTCGTAAGGAATGGTAGACCATTATTACATTTTATGAAAATATGGCCAACCGTTTCTTCGCATCTGGTTCTAGCATCTACACATAAAGATACGAATATTTCTAAAAAAGCAATAGCTTCATTACACGATATAATCAATGCATTTTTATCATCATATAGTGAATTGGATTTTTTCCATTTTAACGAATCATTATTTAAGCCATATGAAAAATTATTACGATATGAAATGTGCAATTCAGAAACACAACAAGAACTTGTACTATATTCTATTTGTGAATTTGTGGAAGGTGCATCGAAAGAGATACGTTCCGGTTGGAAATCCATATTCAAAGCTTTACGTGGATTACGACTTTCAATCGATGAAACAGCAGCCATGAATACACAATCGAAATTTAATTGTAGCCATCATGTACAGATTTTAACCGATACATTTGAAGCATTTCTACGTACAGATAATTTACATGTTTTGGCATATGCTTCGGTCGATTTTATACCATGTATCTTTCATTTGATTCGTAATTTTTCCTCTGAACTCATCGACAATTCCATATCGGAATACCGTAAGTTTTTTTTAACATTTGAAAATTATTATTCATTTACTCACGAAAAATCTTTTTAATTCTCTTCATTATGAACAGAAAATGAAGTTTTTATTATTTTTCTGAAATGTTTGCAAAAATTTTCAAAAATTCTGCGATCCATCAATGAAGTTTCAGAAGATTCATTTATAAATTTTCATGTACGAATTAAAAAGACACGATCACTGGATATGGAAAAAATTCGAGAATCCTTATCAACAATTGATTCTGAAATAAATCTAGAATTTCTACAATTTTCAAACAATCGTCATCTTGAAAATTCACCAATTGAACGGTCAACTTCACTTTTACAAATCTGGTATTTGTTTTTAGATGAATATTCATCAACCATCTGTTTCAGTCATCTAGAATTTCGTCCAATGTTATTGGAAGTTTATTTTACATTAATACAAATGATTATCGATATGAACGATACATTGGAATTTTCTCTCTATTGCTTTAATCATATTGATTTGCCTATGATACAATGTTTATTAAGAGAAACAATAGATAATGATAAAATTGATAAGCTATATATTTTTCTAAAAAGTTGGCTACAAGTATTCAATGATCATGTGATTAAATTTATGTTAACGGAATATTCATTGGATGATGATCAACATATACAAGATAATTTAAATGAATCAAAAAATCTTATGTTACAACAAACATTAATGGTATACATTGAATGTCTTAATGGCAATTATCATGATTTAATATCGATTCTATCATTATCATTGATCAAGTATGTCATCGTTTTTTTATTACATTTTTTTATCTTTAAGTAAATTATTTTTTTTTCTTTATCATTTGACAACAGACATCTTTTATTGTCTTTACATCAAATTTTTACAACAACATTGTGGAAAATATTAATTGACCCATTTCGTATTGCACATCAATTAACCATTCATCCATTAGTATCGTTGGTGAATTCATTTCATAATCTTCCTATCGATATGAATAATGATCTTGAACAGATTAAAATCATTACGATGCGTAATCAATCATTACAACAATCATCTACGTTATCATTGTCATATAATAATAATTATATACAGAAACGTGCTCGACAGATATTTTTTATTGATAATCAATATCAACAACGACATGTTGATAATAATTCACAGAATCATACAAGTGATAATCAACAATTTACTTCACATACAATTATAGTTGAAACATCGACCGGTATTCAAAAAAGTACCTCATTCAATCTATTTATAATTCAAATTCATAATCATTTAACTTTATTACAAATATTATCATCGTTATTGACATTCAATGTGAAGCCACATTTCACTGAAATGGTTCCATTCTTTTACGAACATATTGATGAAATCTGTTATCAGAATAGTAATGGCGAAAATTCATCAGTTCCTTTATTGAGTCTTCAATGGACACAATATAATGAAATATGTTTTCTTTTTAAACAATCATTTACGTATGTATTATTCATATACATGTAGATTATTCTGTTTATTAATTTTAATTTTCTGATAGATATTCAATGAAATTTGATCAAAGATTTGGCCTGAAATTTATTCTACGACATTTAACTCATTCAAATCTTATTCCAAATTTATTCCAGATTTCGGCATTAGTTTGGTCTACACAATTCTCTGTGAATTTTTTCTTGTGTTCAGATCCTAATTTTAGAAACGAAGAAAATCTTACAACTCTTGAAGAGCTATTTACAGAAATTGAATCTATTTATAGTGAAAAGAATGACATGAATCAAAAAAGGGAATCTGCAATCAAATTCAATAATCAAATAATACCAATAATTCAAACAATTGATCATAATGAATCTGGTAAGCTATTTTATTTCCATTAATAATTAATTTATTGACAATATTTAATCTGCAGGGTCGATGGATCAAAAAATAACACGATTAATGCCATCAGATCATGTTTCTCGATTATTCGATGAATATAGAAAAAGTAAACAATCATTTAATCTATCACATCAGCCCGATCTTCTAAGTACAAAACAAGAATCTCAATCAAATGAAATGAATGATGAACGTTTAGAATTTTTGAAATCCGATCTGTTCACTTTTATTCGAATCTGGAATGGCATACTAAGTAAATGTTTACGAAAACATATCGGTTGTGATCTAAACTCATATCGTTATATGTTACGACAATATCAACAGCTAATTCAAACGATGATTATGATGAATAGCTTTGATAAGAACACTCAATTGGTAATATTCGCTTGGATCGATAAATTGGCCGAAAATTTTCTTGTAAAGAATAATCATACACCTGTTGATTGATTTTATTTTAAGAACAAATTTTTTTATGTATTTAATATCATTATAATCAAATTTTAGAATAAAATTCCATTTTATTTTGATTGAGAATGAATTTGACCAGAAGATGATTGAAAATGTTATTTTATAAGTGAATGATGATCGGCATATGATGAATAATGTTTATGATTTTCCATTTGTTGTAGACATTGGCTATTGATTAAATAGTTTCAGTTAAATCAAAAAAAAATTTATTTCAATTCAATTACTCACTTTTGATTCAGAACCAATTCCCGTTGCCGTTGTTGTATTATTATCGTTGCCCGTTTTCAATGATGAATATGATACATGTTGTTTTTCATTCATATTTACTGGTTTCTTAAAGAAACCATATAAAGTCATGGCAATTATTGATAAAATCACCAAAGCAATGATAGCAAATACTGATAAAACGATCATATAACGATCATTGTCCTCAAGATTAAAACATAAGTGATCAACATTAAACAATTCACTCATTACATTATATGGTCCTTCACATGGCTAATGGAATGAAAATGAATGATATAATGAATGAAAATAATTTTTTTTTTAAATAAGTAAAAATACTAACAGAATCACCAAGTACCGAACATGCCAGATATTGTTGTCGATAGAATAATAATACATATGTATTATCATATTGAATTTCATTATTTGATGATGACATATCAACCGAATCCGGATCGATCATTGCCTTTGGAAATGCTTGATCAATTTCTTTATGAAATATTTCCGACCATTCACCATTCACACAACGTATGGTTGTAAAATATTTTCCTAAAACATTAATTTTAGTATTATATTCATTGAAAATCTCTTTCACATCTACACACACACACACACAAAGAAAAAAAGAAATATGATCCATAAAACATACCTTGAAAAATAATAGTCATATTATTAAAATAAGTCATGCCATTAATATTTTTGGTAAAATCCACAGATTTCACAGCTCGTAGTATATCAAATTCGGATAAATTTGATGAACTATAAATATGATCATTCTCATGGACAGTGATCAATGGTCCATTATTGTTTGGTAGCTATTAGATGAATCATTATTGAAATATAAATATTTGATGATTAAAATAATGATAAAAATTGAATTTAACTTACTGTTGAATAGATTAACAGTTGATTGGTTGGAACACAACGGCCATTTTCAGCTTTCAATTTAATATTGACAGCAGCATCAATTCGAAATTGATTATTTTCAGCTAAATCAATTTCCGATCTATTCGAATCAATTGTTTGTAGTTTCTGTAGTATTGTTTCTAAACGTGGCTGCCATTTTGTAGAAATCAAATCAATTATAGATCGTTTCGTTTGAATTGTCGGTAATTCTTTTAGATTATCATTCAACATCCAAAAATCATTATCAATGATAATTAAACGTGAACCATTATTCATATATGTTATGGCATCAATTTCATTCACTTCAAATTCCATACATCTTTTTGGATCATTTGATTGTTGATCATTATTATTATTATTATTATCAAATGAATGCACTTTACATATGATGATTGTCATTATCATCCAAATGATCCATATAATGGATAAAATTTTCATTTTAATGTTCATCATCATCATTATCATTATTCTGTTGATAATAGAAATATATGAAAATAATTTTAGTCACTATAGTAAAAAAAAACAAAACGGAAAAAATATGGCACAAATAAATTATTCTTATACGATGTTATTCTTATACGATGTTTTTTATGTAAATAACAAAAAAAAATTTAAAGGAAAAAATTGATAAAATAAATTTAAAAATAATGACGTCAAATCATGCCATTTTTATCGGATGATAATTGCTGATTAATAATAAAATATTTTATGGCGGCAGTACATATAATAACAAAAATACATGGATGTATGGAAAATGAACGGCAAAATAAGAATGCAACAAACAAACAAAACAAAAAAAAAAAAAAAAACTGAAAAATGAATGGTGATTTTGAACAAAAAAAAAAAAATGAAAGAAAGAAAATTTATTTGCCGCGCCTTACCGCTTAACAATTGTCGAAGTAAATAATCGATTTATCCCACCCTCTTTTTTTTTTTTGGCAAAATTTAAATTATTTTAGACACCACATATACACCATCATGCTACCATCATGCCACCACCACCACCACAAAAAGAAATGAAAAAGCATTTAAATACAACAACAACAACAACAAAAAATCTTGATCACCGTGACAGGTAAATTCTTATCAAAATTATCATCAACTCAATTGAAATAGCGACTATACAATGACTAACACCGACACCAATGTATACACATACACATAAAACATGCAAGATATTTCAGGTAAATCGGCTATTCATAACAAAAATTATTATACACACATGACAACCGAATTGAAATGAAAACTGAATACCACTTCATCCTACAGTCATCATCAGAATAATAAAATAATTATTATATTATGTGCTTTTTCCTTCATTCATTCTGATAGAATTATTCAATTAAAAACTTTGATACAGGTGAATGAAGCTTCGATGAACATATTTTCATCATTTTATTAAACATTTGGAAAACTCGAATTCAAGGTCGATTAGTTATTGGACAACTTTTTTTTTCATTGCTTTTCTTTTTTTTTTTTTGTTCTGTTTTACTGCTGCCATTATTTTTTTTTTCGGTGGAAATCTGATGCTATGGATGAACAATTTTTAATAGCATTCTCAATGAACCGAACCAACTGAAAAAAAATAACGAGAAAAAAAAAGACAGACAACAAACGAACAAAGGCAAAAAATAAAGAAAGAACGAAACGATCAAATTCCAAACCATCAAGGTCCTCGTTTTGTGGTTGTCATGATTATTTATCTGGTTTTTTTTCGTATGATGTATATTGTACAGAGCAATCTGGTCAAAGTTCAAGGTGATAGTAAAGTTGACTAAGACTTTTTTTTGTATATATATGTTTATGGTATTAGTCTGTGCATCTGAATGTATTTTGCAAATGGAGATTTTTCACAAAAGTCTTTTATCCTTTGTCATTATAAAACTTGTATATCCATATCGACAAGTGGTTTATTGCTAAGCAATTATATCATTTTTTTCCATTGATATTGTACATGGATATCCAAAATTGATTTTTATCAACATATAGCATTCTCAATGAACCGAACCAACTGAAAAAAATAACGAGAAAAAAAGACAGACAACAAACGAACAAAGGCAAAAACAATATATGGCGTCAATTTGTTCGTGATGATGTGAAGGATTTCAATTTGATTGAATCATCATCATAATCATGTATACATGATTCATTGTTGAAATATTCACATTCATACCTGGGGAAAAAAAAATACATTATGGCTAATGTGTGAACATTTCAAATAAAAACGGAAATAACAGACTATTTTTTTTCTTTGAATTTACTTGTCAATAATTTTTTAAACAATATTTGATGTTGGCGAAAATAATAATAATAATTTTATTTAAAAACATTCTAAAATAGTCAAAAAAAAAATTTGATTTATAAACAATAGATGGAGTTATATCACGATTCACACAAGATATATTCCAGGATTCATTGGTTACAGCTAAATAGTATCGTTTTGTGTATTGTTAGTGTATTGGATATATACAATAATAAAAATGTTGTGTTGTTTTTATACGTTGCATGATATATTTGTTTATATACAAATAGATACAAATACAAAATCATTATTGCTCATCATCAAGAGTTGTACAAAGGATTTCAATTTGATTGAAAATCATTTTGAATTTAAAACATTCTAAAATAGTCAAAAAATTTGATTTATAAACAATAGATGGAGTTATATCACGTGTTTTATACGTTGCATGATATATTTGTTTATATACAAATAGATACAAATACAAAATCATTATTGCTCATCATCAAGAGTTGTAAACATTTGAAAGTGTAAAAAAAATATTGAGAAATATTGAAACCAAATTATTATCGTAATCATCATAATGACATTATATGATATGATTAAAATCATTTTTCCTTAATCATATTTTGAGCATCAATTGAAAAACCCTTAAAAAAAAGAAAAAAATTGTTTCTTATCCACCGTTTTGATTTTATATATCAACAACAATTATAAGTGGATGAATTCTACATTGTTTTCGTTGGAATTTGAAATTTTGAATCTACTACGCTTTCATACTTATTGAAAAAAAAATGACGACAACACTTTCGGATGAAGAATTTCGTCGATTAAATGTTTGGATATTTTTTTTCTTTGTCAAATTCATTGATTTTTTTTTGATTAATTTTTTTGTTTTGTTTTATTTTTTTCAAAAATTTAGGAACAATTATGTGAACTAAAAAATCAAAACTATCAATGTGATGTAAATTTACGAAAAGCATTACAAGATAATCAAACATTACGAGCAGAAATTGATCAACTTCGGCGACAACGTCGAACATCATCATCATCAGCATCAACACCATCAACGACGACGACGACGACGACAACGAATGAATCGACAGAAAAATTGAAAAAATTGAATCCATTTACATTTGCTAAAAATGTAGCCGCTAAAGTTGATCAACGTTTACATCAATTTTCATTGTCATCAACAAATGATAATCATCATCGTCATCATCAAAATCATGATGATTATCAATCAAATCAATCTGTCGATATAGCAATAATTGAACAAAATTACCAGGTGAAAATTAATGAATTAGAAACAAAAATTCAACAATTAGAAATGAAAAATTCGGAACTTTCTAATATCGATACGAATCGGAATAAATTTATATCCATAATCAAAGAATTGATTGAACGTTATGTACAGGAATCACGTCAACGTCAATCACAGATTTGTACTTTAACGGATTCATTTTGTGCCGAATCAGATTTTGAGCCAATTGTTAATGGAAAAATTGAACAGGAACTAATCGATTCTATTTCAAATTTGGATGATTTTCAATTGATATTTGTGAAATTCATTCAACATTTTGAACAAAAACAGATCATATTTGAAAATGTTTTCGACAAAATTCATAAAAAACAACAAGAATTAACGAATGTGATACAATCAAATGATAGCTGTAATGATATTAGTGAAAACAATGAGATAGAAGAATGTGTCGAAAAATATGAAAATTTAATCAAAGAACGTGATACGGATATTGAAAAATTAAATCAACAATATCAAATTTTGGAAAAAACACTAACAGAATTCGAAACAATCAAAGTTGAATCAGAAAAACAGATAAAAACATTGGAAAATCGTATTGTTGAATGTGAAGAGGATAAAAAAATTAATGAAAAACGAAGTCTTAAATATATAAAAGAATTACGAAAATTGGTTAATAGTGAAAAAAATCGTGCAGATAAATTGCAAAATATTCTGAATCAAGAAACAATCAATACGAATACGAATGTTGATCATCAGAATAATAAAACAGCAAATGAATGGACAATAAATAACAATAATAATAATAATAGCGGTGCAGCTAGCGATCGTTGTAGTAGTACAGGATCATGGACTTATATGAATGATCAATCATCATCATCATCGGCAATTGTTCCTAGTAAAATTGATCCAGAATTTTCTGATCTTGAAATTTGTGATATAAATAACAAAAACATGGATGATATTCAACAATCTTCGAAACAGCAACAGCAACAACAACAACAATCATCATCGAAAAATCGTAAATTTTCGAATGGAATGGCTAAAGAACGATATTTAGAATCAGAAAATAATAAATTATTAGAAACAATTGTCACCTTACATCAGGAAAAATGGTCATTAGAAGAACGTGTCAATATTCTGGAACGTGAATTACAACAATGTTTACAGAATTTAGCTAATGGTAATGGTAGCCCTAATGAAATAACAACATCCAACATACAAACACGACAACAAACATCGCCAACTTCATCGAATAATTCGATATTAAAAATGATCAACTTTATACGGGATAAAAGTGCCGATACACAACAGAATTCTAAACAACAGATTAATGATGTACATCGAAAATTACAACGTATGGTTGAAGAAATATTGACAAAAAATATGCATCTTCAAGCTAATCTAGAGGACATGAGTCGTGAATTGGAATCAACTAAAGATCGTCTTCGTCGTTATGAAGAACCGACAACATCGTCTAAAGCATGAAAAACAATTTCGACAATAATTACGTGAAGATCATATTTTAATGCATTTTATATAACTTTTATTATTATTATTATTATTACATCATTCAAATCAGATTTATGTAATTTCATATTCATCAACATTTATATAATTTAAATAATGATATATATAATTTTGCCATTTTATGTTTAAGAGTGTGTGTATGTGTGTGTGTGTTTCATTATTGCTCATTCAGTTTTGTTTTTCTTTTTTTTCCAACAAGTGCAATCCATAAAAAAACGGAAACAGGAAATGTAAACAATCGCAATATTTTTAAAAATAAAGTGAGAAAGAATTAAGAGAATAAAATTTTAAACGATAATGGAAATAAATTTTTTTTTTTTTTTTTATATATTTGCCATTGAAATGAATAAAATTCATTTGTTTCATTTGCTTGAATTTTTTTCAGTTCTTTATAAATCGGATATTGTTTTATGCAGATAAGTTTGAACCTTTATATGGACCGCGGCTTGACCGAATGAATGCAAAAAGAAATCATAAAATATTAAAGATGATAATTGAAATAGGAAAAGGTGAAAATAATAAATTTGTCTGGTGATAAATTTGAAAAAAATATAATAAAATGAAATGTTTTTTTTTCTTGTAATTTTTCCTTATCGTTTAACCTGAAGTTGGATAACGTGTACGAAGATGCGCACCGTAACTAAAACCACCTGGACTACGTGGATTAAATTGCGCCATCATTGGAGGTGGTGGTACCATACCACCCATTGCTGGATTCGATGGTGGTGGACCCATCGGTGGTGGTTGCATCTGTTTGGATGGATCAACACCCATCTGTGGCGGTGGTGGTTGAGTTCCTGGAGGTGATTGCAATTGTGGCATTGGTGGAGGACCACCATGCATACCCATTGGTGTCGATGATGGTGGCATTTTGTTAGAAGCATCATTCGACATTGGAGGTGGTGGCGGATTAAATGGAACACCTGGTGGTGGTCCATGATGACCAGGTGTCATACTTTGTCCTGGTCGCATCATATGATGTGGTTGCGATGTAGGTGGTGTTGGTCCACCGAAACTCATAAAAGATGGTGAAGGTCCACTAGCAGGTTGAGAAGGACCTGATGGGGTAAACGATGGTGGCGGTCCAGACATAGTCGCTGGCCCAGCGTATGACGTGGAAGGAGGAGGAATCGAACCAGGCATTGGTATCATCGGATGTCGATGATAGGAAGGAGCGTTTGGATCGGGATTATATGATCCAGTCGATGAAGTTGGAGGAGGTGGAACTTGAAAATAAGGTTGAGGATTATTAGTGGTGGAAAATTCAGACGATGATGGTGGTGGATTTTGAAGAGGCGGCTGCTGTTGCTGATATTGATTCGTGACAGGCGGACGAACTGGAGGTGCCGGATAAGCTTGTTGCAAAACAGGTTGCTGGGCAACTATTTTAGATAAATAAAGAAAAAAATCCATTTGAAACAAAATATTTAAGTTATTCAAAAAAAATTCATACTTGGTGAGAATCCTTGCTTGTTAGAATTATCTGATTTTTCATTGCTTGTAACGTTTTTATTTTCAGTCGACGATTGTTGTTGATGCTGTTGTGGTTGTGGTTGTTGTTGATGCTGCTGTTGAGAAGTCGGTTCCGATTTAGGAACACCAGAGACATTCGAATTGTTCAAGGGATCCAATTCTTTTGGAGGTTGACCATAGATTTTCGGTTGTTCCAGTTGTGGTTTTTCATTACGATCGGTTTGTGTATGAACTTCATTAGTGTCCAATATAGCTGAATCATTCGAATTATTGGCATTCGAAGATTTTTTATCGCCATCCAAATGCATCTTTTCCAACAACTGATTACATCGATTACGGATTTCAATCAATTCATGACAAATATCTTTGTAATTATTCATCGATGTACGACCAGTACCCGGTGCAATCTTTTCATTGACAAACACTTTCAATTTTAATATACGGCTGTATTGAATGGCAAATGAAAGATCATTATCATCAATAATCGAGATAAGATCATTGTCATCATCACGATATTTGAGATGAATTTCATCGGTCGGTTGAAGCTTGAATAAACGTTGCATCATCAGGATTAATTCATCATAGGTAATCTCATCACCAATAATCGGTATACGGCGGATATCATCTACATATTGAGCTTTTATGATAATTTTACCATTTAGATCTAATTGAGAAAAATCAGTATCATTGACAGCTGTGAATGACGACGTTGAATTACTTGATGCCATTATTTGTTATAACGATGATTTTTTTCTCTGTTTTGTTTTGCTTTATTTTAAATTGTCAATCCGGTTATCGCTTTCGATTGTAAAGCCAATAAAATCAGCAATCCAGCTAAAATGGAAGGGTTCAAAATCTGGTAAATAAAAAAATTTCAATGAGATGAATTCAAATAAGGAATTAAAAAATGGTTTATTATCATGATGCCGGCCGGCATCTTACCCGAAATTTAAGAATCACACAAACAAAATTGTTGAAAACAATGTACAATCGTTTGATTAATCAGCCAAATTCTTTAAGTTAAATAGCAGACAATGATTCGTTTGCGTTGTTGTAAATTTTTTATTTTTTTTTAACAACCAAAAAAAAAAATTGAAATAAAAAATTAATAAATGATGATGATGATGATGATGTAGTGGGAAAACTCAGAGACAAAACGTACACCACACATGAAATACAATACAGACACAAAAACGATCGACGTTGAGTCGACGTGTCTTTTGATCTTTGTATCCAAAAAAAAAAAAAAAAGATTTCCATACAGCCATCTTACGGTAATAATGAGAAACGATCTGAGAGAATTTTTATTAGAAAAATTTTTTCCGAAAATATTTTTGTCATCATCGTTCGAAAAAAAAAAATAGAATTAAGAATCAAATTTTTTATTTTATTCATTTTATTCTCAAAATTATTGAATCAATTTAATAGAACAATTACACAAAAAAAGATCTATACATGGCACACGCACACACACACACACATAGAGAGAGATTCATTGACACAAAAATATCTAATCTCGTGAAATTGACAAACTAAAAAAAAAAAATTTAATGATTGCACTACGTGATAGAATATAGACAAAGAAGAATTTACTGATTCTGGCGAGTATTCCAAAAAAATTGATGTTTTCAAAAAAATGTTTGTTTAAATAATTTGACATTTGTCAATGTTGATGATAATGATGATAAATTATTGTTGTTATTATTATTGGCCAAAGTAGTATTTGAAATTGTTCGTGAATCCGTTGCTGTTGAAATCATTGTTGTAGAAGAATTTTCATTCATTAAATGATCAACAATATTGGCCGATCCACGAATCGTATTGGATGGTGTTATTCCAAATGGAAATGAACCAATGATTGGAAATAATGGACTAGAGGCAGCAGCGGCAGCGGCTGCTGCTGCTGCTGCTGCAACAGCCGCTAAATTTGATGCCAATAATTTTTGATGATGATGATTATGGGTATTTGTTTGTTGTGTATTTGTTGAAAATGATAGACCATTGAATTGATGATGATGATGATGATGATGATTTGTAGATGTTGCAATATTGGGCATTGAAGGAGATGATGAAACCGGAGGAAGAGATGGAACTGATAGATGAGGATGAGCATGTCCGGTCGGATGATTTATTAATGAAGCTGCCGCTGCTGCAGCAGCAGCAGCTGTAGAAGATGATAAAAATGGTGTCGTCGGAAACTTAACCTGTTGTTGCTGTTGTTGATGATGATGATGAGAATCATCATTATTATTATTATTATTACTTGGTGTTTGTTGTTGATGATGTTGAAAAATTTGCTGAGCAGCCGATGTATAGAATGATTGTAATGCATTCATTTCATCAAGACTTGTTTTGATTGGTTTCGATGTTCGTAAATGTTCATAATTGTTTATGATTAATTTTTCTTCATCGATGGGTGTATGATCATAATTTGTATGATGATCCTGTCGTTTTAATCGACTGGATATTTTCAATGATGATTCTTGTTTAATATTTTATGACGATTTCGATAATTTGTTGTTGAATTATCAGTTTTAATCGTTGCTACCATTGTTGGCGATATCATTTTCGGTGTTGTTGTTGTTGTTGTTGTCATTTCTTTTGTCAATTTTACAGTTTCATTGATTGATTTTTCTCGATTTGATTTAGTTGATTTATGCATTTCTTTTGATTCAATTTTATCATCATGTAATTTACGAATATGTTTTTTGAGATCAAAATTACGACAAAATCCTTTGCCACAAGTTTGACATTGAAATGGTTTCTTCTCATTATGTGTATGCTATATAGGAATGAAAATGAATACATGAATACATGATGAATTAATTAAGGCCAAAACGAAAAACAAAAAAATTCAGATCACTTACCAAATGAAATGTTAGATTATAAATCTGATGAAATGCTTTGCCACAAATATCGCATTTGAATGCTTTTTCATTATTATGTGTTAATTTATGATTTTTATAATTACCCTTTTGATGAAAACCTTTACCACAGAATTCACATTTATATGGCTTATAACCGGCATGTATTCTTACATGTGTATTCAATGTTGAACTACGATTAAATGCTTTTCCACAGAATTGACATTTATGTGGTTTTTCTGCCGTATGAATAATTTTATGTCTACATAATGTACTTGCTTGACGAAAACCTTTTCCACATACTTTACAAACAAATGGTCTTGCACCAGTATGTACGGGCATATGTCTTGTAAGATTATAATGAGCATTGAAAACTTTACCACATTCTGTACATGTGAATGTTTTGGCACTATTTGTTGATAATGATGATGATACTGCTATTGGTGTTGTTGTTGTTGTTGTTGCCGTTGCCGTTGTCGATGTTGTTGTTGTTGTTGTCGTTGATGATGATGATGATGATGATGATCGATTCTTTTGATGATGATTATGATCAATTCGATTTTTTTCCAATGATGATAATTTTTGATTCTTCTGTCGTTGAGAATGATGATAATGAACAATTTGTTCGATAGAAAATCTTTCTTTTGATTCTCCATTATTATTTAAATTACGATGATTATAATTATTTGTTAATGATGATTGAGCTGATGATAACTGTAATTTTTCGATCGATTGTGATTGTTGCATTATTGATCCATTATTTGAATACATTTGATACATCATTATTAAATTATCATTATCATTATTCAATCTATTTGATTCATTTTTCAATTCTGTTGTTGTTGTTGTTGTTGTTGTGTTCATATTTTTATTATTATTAATTAAATTTTCAATTGAAAATGTTAATCTATTAGAACGATAATTTTTATTTTCATTTTTCATATCAATATTTGTTGTTGTTGTTGTTGTTGTTGTTGTTCCAACAACATCAACATCTTCGTCATCATCATCATCATCATCATTTGGATTATCATTTACACTATCATCAGCCATGATGGATGATTCAGTTTCCTGTATAAAATCTTTACCATTTTCTTCTTCTTCATAATCATCATCATCATCATCATCATTAACATCTTCTTCCTCTTCAACAACAACAACATCCTCTTCTTCTTCTTCTTCTTCAAAACATTCAATAAAATCATTATCATCATTATCATTACGAATATTTGGTAATAATGAAATATAATCACTACCATCACTGTTACTACCATCGTGGTCATCATAATCATTTGTAGATAATTGATCAGACATTTTCTATGTTTTTTTAGAAATAAAATATAAAAGAAAAACAAAAACGTTAAAAATCATTATTTTGATATATACAAAATCAATCAATTGTTCGATTTCACCTTTGACACACACTATACTGTATATAGTGGATGATAAGGTTATGTTTCATTTTTTTGGAAATTCAAGAAGATTATTATTATTTATATGGCCACTACCGTCGATTGCACTATCGTATATAATTAATATAATTACATTATACATGTCACTATAGAGAGTTTTTTTTTATTTATTGTCAAGCACCACTTGTAAATCAATTTACCCTAATTTACTTGAATATAATACCTTTGTATACAATGATGATGATGATGAAAATAAACACCAACACATTTTTTAGTGTGTTGAAATTTGAATGAAAAAAAATTACTGTTATCGATCTCTTTTTTTTCATTCACTTCATTACTGATTATAAACTTCAAGAACATATTATACAAATCACACAACAACATAAATTATCTTGTTGTTGTTGTTGTTGTTGTTGTTGTGTTGACCAAAACCAAAACGGGGTTTTGAATCAAGTGAAATTTTTTTTTTTTTCTCTCTTATTATTCATGTTCATCATGTTTCGAGGACTTAACCTTAACAGACACACACAAACACACACACACACACACACTTATGGGTTTTTTGGAACGACTTAACACGATACATAAATCTAATTCATAATTCATATATAACAAGCGGCAGACAAATAAACAAACACATACAAACAAACAAACAAACCGACTAACACACCACCATTCACAAACAACTGGCCAATGGACTAAAAAAAAAAAAAAAAATTCAAAAGACAACCAAAAAAAAAAAAAAAATTCAATTTATTTTTTCTACATTTTCGGGACATTTTTTTTTCTCTTCTTCTTTTGATTCATTGTGTTTGTCATCACTATACTATGCTATGATGATGATTATAATGATCAAATTTTTGCAAAATAAAAAAAAAATGAATGAATCAATCTTCAGGTCTTTTGATCTATACAAATAGGACAAATACGAAAGGTGAGGTTCATTCATATGGTTCTCCAGGTTCTACAGTTGCTTTTTTTTTTTTCTCTCTCTCTATTTGTCATAATAAAATTTCTGACCTTTGTTTCTTTGTCTTGATTTGTTTGTTTGTCAATGTTGTTCAATCCTGGTTTGGTTGTACTGTTGTTGTTGTTGTTGTTGTTGTTGTTGGTTTATTTTTCATCTATTTTTTATCATTCATTCATTCATTGATTCATTGTTTACATTTAGTTTTTTTTTTACTTTCAATATAGTCAATATTTCAATTTCAATAGAACTGAATTCATTATGAATCAAACATTTCCAAAAAAAAAAATCGAAATGATGTTTGAGCAAAAGTTTCTTTCCTTTTCACTGTTTCTACTCTTTTTTTTTCTTTGATGAAATGTCAAAAATTTAAAAAAATAAATGGCAAATGGTCGAGTTGACTATGTTTTCGTTTGTCCTGAATCATAAAAAAGTTAATAAATGTTGTAGTATATGATGTTTATTATTCACTCATCAATCAATGATGAGATTCATAAAATTTTTTTTTTAGACAATATTATTAAACATTATTATTACATTCAAATTTGTTCATTTGTACCATTTTATTAAAGAAAAAAAAATGGAAAAAAAAATTTTCATGTTTTTTGCTTGCTTTCCATGTTTTTTTTTTGGTTTTGTTTTGTTTTGTTTTGTTTCATTCAATGGCAATAAGGGACAATTCACTCGGATTTTGTTTGGACCATTGCTTCAATTATGTTATTAGCATTTTTTTTATGTTTTTGTCCGCTCTCTCTCTCTCCTCTCCCTTTCAAGCCCAAGTTTGGTTTTTGTGTGTTTGTGTGTGTGTATGGTAAATCCATTGTTTCATTCCATGTTTTATTAGCAAACATTGGGATTTATGGTGAAATGATTGTGTATAGTGTATATACACACACACACACAAAAAAAATGGAAAAACGAATTTTTTTCCATCATCATTTTGATCCAAATAAATAGAAAGAGAATGGTTCATTTTTTTTTGTTGTTGTTGTTGTTGTTGTTTGTTGTTGTACCAGCTATTCGGCTCGAATGGATCAACTTTTTTTTTTTGCTTTTTCTTTCATTTTTTTTTATTCTCTCTCACTCTCTTAGGATTGCTGATCATAAAATTTTTAAATAATAACCGCAACAACACCCTAGTGCAAAAAAAATGACAAATAGAAGCGGTCTACAACACTAGATCATTGTCATTGTTGTTCATGTGAACATTATTGTTGTTATTCAGTATTTTTTGTTGTTGTTGTTGACAACATCTTGTCAACATAGTTGATCGGATATTTTCTACAAAATTGATCATGAAAAAAAAAATTTGCATTTCATTCTTTCTTGCTTTGGTTCCGTTCAGTAATTCAGTAGTAAGGATAACGGTGTGGTAAAACTTTGTTGTTGTTGTTGTTGTTCGTGTTGTGGTTAATAATAATGAACATACATACAACACAAGCCACAAGTGCTATATGTATATGTGACACACCTAAAGCCGATTATCGAGTCCATTAGCCGATATATATGTAGTTGATGATGTATCGAATGTTTTTTTTTTTTTTTTTTTTTTAACCATTCATTATTGAGATTTTTTTTTTATTTTCGTTTTCATCGTTGTTGTTGTTGTTGTTGTTGTTTATTATCGGTTTTATTGCAACAAAATAAAATAAAAATCTCAGAATTATCAATCCGATACGATTTTTTTTTCTTTGTATTCAAAAATCTTTGATCATCAACATTTAATCCGATTGTTGATATGTATATAGTCGTAATCATTTGCAAAACATATTGTGTTTATGGACCGAACAATCAAACGTATGAATGATATATAGTGGTGGAGGATAATCTTTAAATTTTTTCTGTTTTTTTTCGCTTTTTTTTCTCTCAATATGGAATTGTAAACTTTTCAGTGGTGGAAAAAAAAACAAAAATTCCAAACGTTTCAATTTCAATCACAATTAGTGAGGAAATGAACAATTTTTTTGATGTCATAATCAAAAAGTTGACAATTTTATCATTACAAAAAAAAAAACAAGCAAAAAAAAACCATGATATCATCTTTCATCAATCTAAAATCATCGTTATCTTTGAATAATAATAATAATAATAAAATTACAATTACAATCAAACTACACTGCATCAAACATACACACACTGTTGTTGTTGTCGCCGAAAACAGTGGTGTCGTTTGTAACCAAAGACGAACCTACCAATATATACACCGGTCGGTTGCTTCCAATCCAAAACACTATGTGAAAAAAAGACAAAATCTAATCTTGATCGAAAGATCTTTTTTTTTCTCTTTTCTTTTCTTTTCTAATACCGACGGCTTGAAATGTACAATCAATTATTATTATTATGTTGATACGACTAACCAAGATTTCACTATCACTATCTACGATTATCACGGAAATCGTTTTTTTTTTACCTGACAAGATCAGATTTCAAATATTGAATAAAGTCATTTCGGCTTCTGTTGGTGGTCGGATATTGAATTTCCAAAAAATTTTTTTTTTTTTCTTTCTCTCTCTCTCTCTCTTTCTACAATTTTTCTTATCACATTTTTTTGATCATTTTTTTCGTTTTGTATTGAATTGAATTTTTTTTTGTTCATTGAAATCAAGAATGTTTATCGATTTCAATCAAAAAGTGAAATCGATAAACATTGATCGATTGATTATTATTGGTTAATTGAAATTTAATTTAAATTTTTAAAAATGGGGAAAAAATTTACTTACCAAATTTGTGTTTTTTTTATTCTATTGTTGATTTGCCACCAATTTGTTTTTGATGATTTATAATTTCAAGTGGAAATATTTTCTGTCAACAAATTTTCGTTTAGTATCGATTATTCACGGATATATGATGACAATGATGATGATGATGATGATGATGATAGTCACAAATATTGAATGATCGATAATTGATTTATTCTTCTGATGAAAAATCACGTTCAGATTGAAATATACAAAAAAAAAATGAAATAAAAACACTTAGTTGTCAGTAAAAACAGACGAAAATTTAGGCAGAAAACAACAGCATAAAATATATTAGTTTTTAATGAACAAATTATCGATTATGAAAATTAAAATTAGCCAATTAAATCGATGTGATTAA